GTAATATTTTTTATTTGAAACTTAAAGTTAACTAAGGGTAGATATATTAAATAAAATAATGTAATTTATTAATTAAAATAATAATTAGGTAGGTATGCGGAAAAAAATGTCTCAAATGTCTGCAGTGTTTTTTCTTTCTTAGTAAGCATACTCTTGCTCTTTGCTTTCACTTTCAGAACTACGGTGTCATTCATCGCCTTTACCTAGAACGTTCAAAAATTTCGCTCTAATAATTTTTATTTACCCATAAAGTACAACCTTATATTGAAATAGCGATGGAAACGCCAAACGCTAATCTAATCTTGTAAATGGCTAGTTCATACTTTTTAAGTTTGTAAGTACCTACTACAGTACAATAAGTGATATAACGTTTTACGATAAAATAAACAAACATTAAAATTCTTCGTTACTTACTTTTATAAATCGATAGTTAGACTCACCTATATTTTATAAAAATTCAAGAAGACAAACAAATCATGTAAGCTTACATTTAAGAATTATTTTTCAATGTAAAATTTGTTCATTCATTCAGTAATACATAAATTATTTTATTCTACTTTATTATATTCTAGACTGATAACAATGTTCCCAGTAATTTTCAGAATAGCTAAGATACAACTTAAATGCAAAGTTCTCGGAAACAGGCCAGTATGTCGACATCAGACAACAAACGTCTCGGTAGCCGTTTGTTTGCACGCTTCTAATATTAATTGTAAAAATGTCTCTAGTTTAAGGTTAAGAGAATATAAGGTCATAGCATTGTATAACATGATTATACTGGTACGTACTAACCACCTTCCTTAATATTGTAAAACAACATATGCTTGTTTTTTTTATTAATATCAACATATCAACTTACATTTGTTCAGATTATATTATAATAGACATACATATTATTATATACCTACATTCGTTTATCATAAACATTCTACGGTACTATTAATAATAGGCAAGTTTATGATGCAAGACAATATTAAGGGAAAAATGAACGACGCAAGCTCTGGTAATAAGTTATAGGAAATTTTGATAAGACCTGAGTATAACAAAAACCTTGAAATTTCATAATAAAAAAACAGTTTCAGCCAGCATTTACCCACAGCTTCGCTCGTATAAATGGATAACGCCGATAAAGCCATATTTACCAATCCCATGGCGATAGGCTGAACTGTATACAAGTTGACCCAAAAACCTTTATGTAAAAACACACGTCAAAATTCAAAACCGACCAAGTGCGAGTCGGACTCGAGCACGATGTTTATGGATAATGATAAGGATACCATTATCCATAAATACGGCAAAAAAAATCATGTCTGTCGTATGGGAGCCCCCTTAAATGTTTGTTTTATTTTTTAATTTAATTATTTATTTTTAAAGTGAGAATATAACTAAATATTCTGTGAATATTTCAAGCATCTACCTGTTGCCATTATCAATATGGAGCAAAAACGAGCAAAATAAATCACGTTTGTTGTATGGGATCCCCCTCGAATATTTATTTTATTCTGTTTTTTAGTATTTGTTGTTATAGCGGCAATAGAAATACATCATTTGTAAAAATTTCAACAATCTAACTATCACGGTTCTTGAGATACAGCCTGGTGACAGACGGACGGACAGCGGAGTCTTAGTAATAGGGTCCCGTTTTACCTTTTGGGTACGGAACCCTAAAAAAGCATTCTGAAAAATTCTATTTCTAAGAATTTTTTTTAACAATCATTACAATATCATTTATGGCTACTAATAAATAGCTTTTTTACTCATACCACATTTCTAATTTATGTACGTGATTGACGTCATCTACTCGTAACGTTTTATAGTAGCGTGACACGAGTATTAAGCAAGGTTGATTCACTTTAGGATGATCGTTCATCATTCAGCATCCTTATCGGTGTCCTTGTATTTAACCGGCCCTCACTCGTAGCTTATATTAACCTGGAGAATAAGTAAATAAAAACGTGCTTATTACTATAAAATAAAAACCCGATGAAACAATTTTTTTTTTTCTTTAAAAAGTTTAAATTACTATTTCAATCATAATTATTAATTGAATTTTTGTTGTATTTTTTTTTAAATTAACACCGTAATTATACAATTATGGTGTTAATTTAAAAATAAAAATATTATATATATATATTAATTTAAATAAATAATGTATTGTTTTACATTTTATCAGTTGCTAGTAATATTAGTAGTAAAATACCTAATTCTTTCTTTAAAATTATAAATGATCTGCAAGGAACTATCAATCTTTCAAAAAAAAACAAAAATATTGTAATATTGAGACAATATTTATAATATTCGTAACATTGATAGTAGTTCAAGGCACTTCACATTCTAAATATCGACCGAAAACGCAAATAACATGGAAAATAAATGAGTATTAGTATGTAATACATAATATAATATTAATTTATAATTTATATCTACAAAAAGTATAATCACATCACAATATAAACTACAAATATATTCAACAAACCTTCGCTGTAATATACAAAATATACAAATCAACCTTTAATTATATGATATGGATGAAACTGCAATTATAATCCCATCTAGTTCTTTCCCTGTAATAAACTGGCCGTGACTTGTTGCCCTTGCTATCACCTATAAAGGCCGGGCACCGCGGCCTTAGGCTCAACGACCGCCGGCGCTTCCGGGGCAACGCCTCTATAACTATAGAGAAATTAAATCTAATGATAACATAAACTATAATAAACTATAATAATAATTTTTTAATTGGCTGTTTAGCAGATGACAATGTAACAATGTACGAGCACTAGGTCAAGTTTATGCAATAATATATATTTATACAATGAGTAGTATGTTATTTTTAAAACTGTTTTAAAAAATACAACAATCAAGAATCACTATTAACACCTCGCGGTTAATAATTACAACATTATAATTAAGACAATAAAGGACCATCTCTATTTTAAACTACAACCAATATTATAGACATCAACGAGAGCGTCGGCATTTTATATCCTAACTAAAAATATTCCACAATAGTCTACATTAAGTTTAAATTTAATTTATTAAACATTTAATAACAGTCGCTTCAAGATATCCTTGTGATTAAGTTTACTATTAAATTATTACTATATTCATCGCAACGGCATTTAAGGTTTAAACTTTAAAGGTTAATAATATACATACATTTTACGTAGAGCTACAATATTATTTGATAATAAGACGTATCTAATTATTTTCCACGGTTTGTTTTTTTGGTATCCTTTACATAATTACAAATATAGTGTAAATAATAACAAAATCTATAATATCTTATAATTTTTATATCATAAATCAATTCATAACTTTTTTCATTCAGTTTTAAAAGTCCTTTACATGAGCTCTATGATAGTTAATCAATTAAATATATTAAGAAGTATAAGATGAAGAAATTACATTTTTAAATAACAATAATCTATTAATAGGGTAAGATTCATATTGACTTCAACGAAAACACAATAAAGTAGCTTGAACTCAGGTCCTCATAGCATGTATGGGTAGTATGGCTATACTTGCTACTGAAGATAATGACTAAACTAAAGAGACAGGTGCTTGTAATAAAAGCTATATCAAAATCCGAGTGCTCACAGCTATAATTTAATAATAAATGCTGTTTATTCATGGACATGTTGTAACGAAGTATAAACTAGTAACGTATGATAACCTCGAATTAAATCGAACACTCGTGGTCTTCCTGATGCCAAAGAAAAACTGGGAGCATAAAAAATAGTTTCCGACACGATACTGCTAACGCATTTCAAAGAATTTATGTCAAGAACTCGCCTAGTGTAAGGTCGACAATTCAACAAGTTACTCTTTACTAAGTATTAAATACTTCAAAACTAACGAAATAAATATGTAGAATATTATACTCGAATGTATACATCATATATCCACCATCCTTATATTTTGGTGTTATCTTATATTTTATAAATAAACAAAGGCTTATTCTTATAATTTATTGACGCAAATTGCTTCATCTCAATAAGGTTAAACATTTGCAATAAAATTTACATAGTATTTATGTGTGAGAATAGGCAATTGTTTGTTATTAAATGTTACCTACAACCGACGTACAAAAGGCTGCTACTATCAAGTTAATTAAAATTTGTTTTGTTTTTGTAAATTTTTTTGTAATTCTTTGTTCATGCATTGCTTATCTATCTTATTTAATGATTTGTTGTGCATAGGTACGATCTATGAGGTTTCCTACATATATCATTTAACGTGCGTGGATAATTAGTTATTTCATATTTGTTAGTAAGCATTAAAACAAGGTTCAAAATGTTAACCTCTACAGCAAAAAAAAATACATAGCATATCTATTGTTATTTTAAATTGTATTTCATGAATATAAAATTCTATTAGCAAAAATGTTAAATAAACCAACACCTTAGTAAACGATATAAAACCGATATATTTCGCAATACTCCTTTGCATTCCGCACAAGTCACGAGATCATAGACCTTCTAAAATCTAAAGTATAGACTGCAGATATAAAAAAAAATAAAAAAATAAAATCAATTTATAAAGCGATTAAAATTACAGCAAGAATTGCCTAATTTCTTAATTAAAATTTAATCGATACTAATTTGTACTGAGTACAATAAAAACATCATCTTAAATCAGAGTGCAATGTTAAACGTAAAATAATTGTGTCAAGTTCGAAATATTTTTGGAAATACCTTTGAATTTTAATTTGTAACATTAGAAAGTTCTTTCAAGTATCAGATACTTATAATAGCTAAAATAGCTCTATTAAATAATTAAAAACTGTTCAACTTATATACATTTGTTTACATTTATCCATCCTAAAGAATGTACTATTGCAATTAATTTTAAGATTAGGTATATAAAATATCAGAAAATAACCATGAGAACCTAAAAAGAAACTTATTTGACTGTTCACGTAATATATTTAGACTAGTTTCAGCTATATGAAAATTACGGTACTTAACCAGTGGCTTCTGTGTTTTCAGGCTGGGCAAGAGATGAGGGGGTGGTTTGACGCTTTCCGCGAGGAAGGCGGGCCGACCCTATATGCTTACCACAACCGTACTGCAGTTGCTGCCGATGTACCAGCTCTCGCACTACTAGTGGCTGCCCTAACGTTATACCTCGCGTTCTTAGTCATCTTTCCAGGCATCAGGAAGGAGGTGAGAGAAGGTTCCTTTCTTTGTTTCTATATGTATTGAAGAACATACAAAATTGTTATATATAACATAAAAGAATTGATAAAAAAATATTTCTACTTATACGCTAAATTATTTTGTTAATTATTCTGCCAATTTCATTGGACTAATACTACTCAATTAATAGTTTTGTTAAAAGTATGTAATTTAATCGTTAACAAATAATATAGTAAAGACCAACGATTTAGAGGATTTGAAAAAATGTGCATACTTAGAGGAGTGAGCTCAGTCATCCACTTCGTTATTTTATTTCGAATTCAAATATAAAATAATGTGATAAAATGTAATTTAATTTGTAAATTACTAGGTATGTATTCAGCTCTTTTTAACGTCTAACTGCTGGGCACGGGTCTCCCAGTACGAGGGGATCAGACCATAGTCCACCATGCTGGCCAAGTGCGGGTTGGCGGACTTCACATGGACACACATTCAAAAACTTGCTAGGTTATCTCAGACATGCAGGTTTCCTCACAGTAAAACAAGTGGTAAATATGTGAAATGATTCGCACATGAAAATATCAGAGGTGCGAGACCCGGGATTTGAACCCGCTTCACTCTGTTTTCCAAGCGAGCGCTAACTAGGTAATGCGCTTATAATTCAAGAAATTCTAATAGCGCAACGGTTTAATCTTTTCTTATTTCTACAATACAATTAATTACTACTAACAATATTTTCAAATGTCTAATACTAAACGTTATAATATATCCAGAATGTTTAGTGGTTATTATTAATTAAAAAAAGCGTTATTATTATTTTAAAAAAAAACATTTCTTTTTCAGAGATTCTCTACATTTACAATCGTCACCCTCAGCCTGTTTGTAGGAACTGTGATTTTAGGTAAGCCATGTATTTCAATCATTGTGTGTGATTACACAATTATCAAGATTAGACTAGTAATTTTGAAACGAGAAAGCATATGAAATTAACGTAGATATAAAGCATTTATACCTAATAATAGCATTTATACCTAATAATAGCTTTCTATGACTTACCTATCATTTTGTAAACATAATGTACATTGTCGAGTAATAGTTGCAAATTTTTAGTAGCTTAGTTACATAAGCTAAAAAATGCAGGTAAAATAAAAATATTCATTTCAAGGCAAAAATATATTGAGGAAAAATTTAATATGAAGCATTACGAATACGGTCATTGTGAGCAAACATAAAAGTATATTTTAGGTTATCTTAGGAAACAATCATTTTAAAAAGGACGATAAAAAATGCGAGAGGTATTGCTATCTCTTGCCCTTTGTGCTTTCTCTTTTTGCCTTGAAAAAATGGTAGGTATCCCTATACCATTTTTTAGTACATTTTCAAAAAGTAAGTTAGACTAGTGAATGTAAATAAATTAAAGAAGTTGTAATAGACATTGTAATTATAAATGTTGAATAGTGCTTAAATGAAGTTAGGCTGCTAGTTATTGCCTAAAAAGTTAAGTAAAGTATTTCCATAATGAGGGGCAATTGTTCTCAATGGCCACTTAAATTAAGAAATCAAGATATATTGTTTTAAACGAATAAGCTTGCTTAAACACATACTAAGCTATGAGTTAAGTACGTGTTTTTTTATTACATACTAGCGACTCACCCTCGCTTCGCTCGGGTTCGTCCCTAGGTTGATTCCCCATACAAACTTTAATCCCTATTTTCACCCCTTTAAGAGATGATTTCCGGGATAAAAAGTAGCCTATGTCCTTCCCAGGGTCTCAAACTATCTTCTTACCAAATTTCATCTAAATCAGCTTTGTAGATCCAGAGATTACCCTTAACTTCACAACCTCACAAACTCACAATTCACAAACTTTACCTCTTTATAATATTAGCATAGACCACTATAAAAGATGTATATAAAAATATTAAAATTAAAAATATTTGACTAAATATACCTAATATAATATTGCTTGATTTAGCCATATTCAAATAGGCAAATTCTTGTACTATTCCAGCCTCTAGGCATAATAAAATAATAATAAATAAATAAATATGGTGGGACATTAACACACGGCACCATCTAGTAGCACCATGATAAGCTACGAGGCCTGTGTTATGTATACCAGATAGTTGATACATTACACATATATAACTTTAAATACATACTTATCTATACATATAATAAAATCGTAACCAAGCCGAATCTGTACATTAAATATTTTTTGGATAATTTTATTGAAATAGACTTTCTCTGTATCGATACAGAGGCCGAATCTATAGTTTTTTGAATTTATGTCTGTCTGTCTGTTACCGCATCACGGAAAAACCACTGGAGGGACTTTGATGAAATTTGGTATGGTGATAGCTGGTTATCTTACTTGGAATACTTTTTACCGCGGGAAAATATCTCATTTCTGAAAAAAAATACAAAAACTGCATTGTAAGAGTATACTAATATATAAAACCTAAGAATTAGGTTTTTCTCATTTGTACGCGGGCGGAGCCGCGGGCTAGCTTATTAATATAAACACCCACGACTGAAGTACAAACATTCGTGCTCATTACAAACTGAGCCAAACGTGTCGTCAATAATAATTAAGTTTTATATAGATATTTTGTAAAGATTTAGTTTATAAGATTGTAATATAATATATGTTTTACTTATTATATAAGAATGATATTTCAGTATGTAAGCACGGGTCGTCATGGCATGTTGCGGGGGCGCGGGTGGCCCGCGCCGCATACCGCGCGTTCTCTACAGAGCGTCTAGACTGCTGGCTTGCCGTTCATGTCGGCTTGGGCCACGTCAATGTTACACTCACAGGTAGGCTATAATTATCTTGAAACTAGAATAACCTTTTTGATTCATTTTGATTTTAATAAAAATCTTATCATACAATTTACCTTTTTTGCACACGGTCTAGTCTAATGTCTATGAGTTTAGATACGGAGTTTAGAGAGAGAGTTGTAGTTTGTAGATATTGTAATTCTATTGAACATTCAACTCGGATTTATCACAATTAAATATTCTATTAAATATGATATTGCATTTTGTTAGAAGGAAATTACTTTTTCTAAAATAGCAGTCTTATTATAGCTTTGTCATGGGGCAACTTATCAAAGGGTGACCCTGGTGTGGACTACAATGAACAGTTTAGGTGGGAGGAGGCAGGGGCCATTCAGGATTGGTATCGTGCCGGTCTCTCGCGAGGTCTACCATACCCCGTCCTATCTGTCGCTGAACATTTTGCAGCGGAACACGAAGGTTTTGAGTGGGGTGCTAAGTATCGAGCAGCTGGATATACAACAGCGACTCTACTTTGGTATGAAAGTTAACTTTTAATTGTGGCGTTGGTATGTATTTTGAAATAATTAATTATACAGAAATATTTGCTGAAATTGGGACAAAGTAGAAGTACGTAAATTATGTAAACTTTGACCAATTTATGTGTGCGATAATATCACCACAAAAACTACGCCTATTCTTCATTTATGTCTATGCAAGTAAAGCCATATAAGATATGTGTAGATGACGAAATATTTTAAAATTAATTGATTGCTTATTATGAGATTCAGTTATTTTATAAAACTTTCCAACAAATAAGTATAAAGAAATGTATAATACATAAAGGGTTTTCCTATACTATTAAGTTTATTTGCTGTCAAATGATTTTATCAACATAGCAACGCCACAAAAATAAAATTATAAGTCCAACGACACAGATAATAAGAAAGTAATCAGTTAATCGGGATGTTCCAGGACGTCGTTAGCTTTATGGCTACTGATGAATCTTCTCTTAGTGGTTGTACCGAGATATGGAGCGTATGCGATGGCTTCGTTAGGGGTTACCTTATGCACAGCGGCCGGAGGCTATTGGGCTTCGTTGCCCCACGTGCCTCTTATAGTAAGGATTGATGGAGCTATGCTGTTCTTCTCGTTAGGATGGTGTTTTTGGCTAGTATTAACTGCAGGTATTTTACTTATTTATTACATACTATTAATTTATTATAAACTCTTTATTGAATGATTAAAAAATAACGTTGCATATTTTCTCATTTCAGGTTGTATATGTGTAGTAGTCGGATTATTAATAGCTGCATTAGATCTAGTGTGGCCACATAAGTTCTCTACAGTATTAGAAGTAGACTACGATACACCATATGATAGACACGTACTTATAGTAGACAGTCGGCAGCGTGCCAGACCCCAGACACAAAGTTCACTGCCTTCTAGGATACTGAGGTGATATATATTCAATATTATATACATATTATATACATGTCTTGTATTTATCCTCAATTAAATTATACAAAGTATACATAAATTTTATTCCTAATTTTCTTCATTCCTTGTATCTATACAATCTAAAATAATAACAAACACATTCACCATCTTAGCACAAATTTTCTCATTTTTAATTTTACTATAATATGTATTCAGCCTTTTTTTTAACGTCCCACTGCTGGGCACGGGCCTCCCTTCAATACGAGGGGATCAGGCCATAGTGGCCCACCACGCTGGCCAAGTGCGGGTTGGTGGACTTCACATGTCTTTCGAAAACTTGCTAGGTTCTCTCAAACATGCAGGTTTCCTCACGATGTTTTCCTTCACCGTAAGACAAGTGGTAATCATGTAAGAAATGATTCGCACATAAAAATATCAGAGGTGCGAGACTCGGGATTTGAACCCACTTCACTCGGTTTCCCAAGCGAGCGAGTTACCACTAGGCTACCACTGCCTTTTATTAGTATAATATATTGGTACTAAAAACATACATTTTAATTAATAAAACCTATTAAAAATATGAAGTTAATTTTTCTACAAAGAATTATAATTAGATAATACAAATAATATAACCATAAAACAATTTATTAATAGGAGATTATCATCAAAGACGCGGGATCCAGAACGGCAAGTATCAATGTCCGTTGTGAATGAAAGTGGAGGTCGAGATAATCCCGCCTTCCAGCATGAGCAGCGGAAACCCAATTCACCTTGGAGATACCCACTGTTCAGGCGGCAAATTGATCGGTAAATAATTACAAATATTTATAGATATTTACCTATAAACCACGAGGGAAAAAATAATGTTTATAAAGACTGTGCGCACCTGTGGCATTAGATGAATCAGATATCAAATGCATGGTCTTAACTGTATTTGATGAAATTGCTTTTTACAAGTTCTTTCCAAATTGGAAAATTATTTAACTATTAGACTTTCATAGACTTCATGTAAAGAATATTCATTATACTTATTTGTAACCCGCACCTGATAACTGCTACCTTTTTTCATATAAATTTTTAGAGATTACTTACTTTGCTTCTTAAAACAGAGCTTGAAATTTGATAAGTTGATTGATATATAATAATAAAGTCTGAGATGGATGATAGCCATACAAACCCTGCTTTACAATAGATATAGTAGAAAAAAGATTTAATTTTACCATTTTATTAATATAAAGTTTGATTTTAAACAATCGCTAAAAATTTCAGTGTTGATTCGGCATCAAGCTTAGGTTCAAGTATAAACGGAAACAATCCTGGAATCAAAATGTCACCTTTAGCAAGCAGTCCGCCTTCAAACTCGCTTTCAATGTCACCGCAGAGGTAAAAATCTTTGCTTGGTTTGTTTAATAACGTATACCTAGATTATTTTTTATTTATTAAGTTATCATTAACAGGTATCGGCCCCAAATACCTGCGGCGGAACGAGTAAAAGATATGTGGTAAATTAGGAACAAGATTTAGAAATATAAGTAAAATTGTAAATTTCGAATCAGTCTTTAAAATGCCGATCTCCTAAAAATAAAGGAATACTTAACATATAGTATTATTGTATCAAATCTTAATTATTAAGGGATATCAAATTTTAGTTTAGTTTTATATTATTTATGGGACTTGTAAATACGTACCTATTTAGTGTTTAAGCAAATTAAATTATAATCAAACTGTTCCGTCCAGTGTCATAAGTTATGTATAATAGATACTGATAAAATCTCGTACCTCGTATTATTTTCGTATTACTTTAAGTTTTAAGTTAACGACGTAGCGACACAAGTGAATACTTTGTGCCATTTGTAAATAATGTTGACTTTCAATATCACAACTAGGAAATAATTAAGTCTGCTCTATTAAAGCTACTAAATAGAATTATTATATATACTTTGATATGCTTAAAAATATTTATTTTACTTATGTTTAGAAAAAAACAAAAATTGTTTGTAATTGTTGGAAAATAAATATATTATTCTCACTTCATCGAACTTGGTACAAAAATACTTATTTACTAATAATAGAAAGTCATTTAGTGATATCATAGTGTTAAGGTATTTATTATGTTATAGTTGCCAAACATAGAACATAGCAGCCGATTTCTCATCGCCGTTTATCACACGCTTAATGTTAAACTAACTCTACGTCATCTCCACATGATACGTTTTCAATGTTGTGAAAATGTGTTTGCAATAGTGACAATGTATTACTTTTATTTTACACATTCATTTTGACATATTAGTATCTAGATGTAAAAGTGATAATTTTTAAATATTTATTGTGATCAAAAATATACCAATTGAAAAATATGTTTGTTTTTCTTTGAGTATCCTTACTAGATCTAAGATTAGACTATCTTCTGGAGTCAGCCTGGAGTCGAAGTGGAAATTTTCCAATACAAAAGATTATATTTTTCTGTAGCATAAAGTTTAGTTCTTATAAAAAATAAATTATTTCGCTAGTATATATAAATCAGAAACAAAAAAACAATAACGTATAAATAAAATCAGAAACATTGTTATAATTATTATTTATTAATTAATAGCAAATAATTTATATGAATATAAAAATCATAAAAACAAAAAGCTGAGTACAAATTTTTACAATTGATTTGTACTAAAATTCAATATAAAATTCATAAATTCAAACGATTAACTAAGCAAAGCTACTTTAAAGCACGCTATTAATATTATTTATATTAATTTGTTTGCTCCTTAACAAGATGTTCAAGGTTTAGTTGACATAGGAATGCATTCCAATTTACAAAGCCTTCGTTTATTAGATGCTCCGCCTCCGCCCACAACTTACACTGTACAAAGAGCATTTTCATTAACAATGATTTTGTTTCAATACAAACAAAAAATATACTTTTATAAACTGTTAATCGCCTTTGTTTAATCATTAAAAGGTTTTACACAAGGAATAAATAACATTGCAAAAAGAATATGGATGAGACACTTTCCGCTTTAAACCGGCGAGTTACTGAGAGGTTGTTCTCAATTATATTCAAGTTAACCTCTAGACCTCTATGACGTCAGATATATACATATACCACAATACAAACATTTAAGCAATTCTGTTAAGCTGAGATCGAATTTGTAATAACTTGAGTTGTTGAAGAATAGTATAATCAAGTCACACCAGCATCATTTACTGTACAGATTTATTTAGATGAATAAAAAATAGGATTAGACGTAGAAAAGACTTTTTCAATTCTATTCTTTTGTTCAGTGGCTCCTTATTAGATTACTGTAGAATCTACAGACAGTGGAGATAATATAAATTTCGACTTACCTCAGTATCTTTAACAGGCGGCGCGTGGCGGACAATTCTAAGATAATCCTCTTCAGTAAGATTGAAGAGTGGTTGTGTTTGGAAGTTTAGAAACTTCATGAGATCCTCGTATTGGATGTTACAGTTGTCATCTTTTTCCAAACTGTGCAAAAAAAATATTATTCATTATTTATATACTAGCAAACAGAACTGAATTGAAACAAAAAATATCGATTTCACTTTTTACTCGTCAATTTATCATATTTTTATTATTTTTTCTCGTAGCTCCGCGCACATCATTTAAGTTTTTAAAGTTATTCCGCTATCGTAAATCATAATGTGATGTGATTCCTCAATAAATAGGCTATGAAAGTCAAAAAGAATTTTTCAAATCGGACCAGTAATTTGGAGATTAAGGCGTTCAAACTAACGAATACGAACGATAGAACTTATAATTTTAACAACGTACACTTGCAACATGCAATCCATAAGATCGCAATTAATGGGCAATCTATGAGATCGAAGGATCTGTCGGATCCTCTCTACAGACAACACGCCGGAACCGTCAACATCTGCGTGTATGAGGCCCTCTTGGAGACGCGCCCTGTCATCCCAAAGGCCTCTTGTCAGCTCCGTGAATACCAAAGACCTAGATAATTTTAAAAAATCAAATGTATCTTTAAAGGTAGAATGTTATTTTGTTGAAAATACTGAAAGATTGAGGTAAAGGCAAAATTTTGCGCGACAGAAGCTAAAAAGTTTTTTATTGTTACAGAACTAATTTCTTCTTTTAAACTGGTGTATTAAATATCACGTAAAGCAGACTGGAAAAGCTGTAAATACAATTTGTGAATCAAAAAGAACACCTCCTTTTTTAAAGTCAATTAGAATTATTAATACATTAACAATTATGAATGCATATATGTATAAAAAGAAGTCGAATTAATTAATTTACTATTTATTTTAAAAAAGTCTTAATTAATTAAAATCAACATATGAAGTAAAGCCAAAGAGAAGTAGAATGAGATCATGACACAACATTTTATTGATATTATCAATATTTTTACCTTATCATTTCACGCCGTGGACTCTTTTCTTTCCCGAGATCACCGCGAAAATATCTAATTAGAGTTATAAATTCGTGTTCGGTTATTTTTTCGCACATTATTTCTTTTAATGCTTGCCTGAAATTATACAAAAAATATTATTTTATTATCACAGCCATTTTTAAAGACGTCTCATTACTATGAACGGGTCTCCCTCGCATTGAAAAATGCAAGGGGATCAGGCCATAGTCCACCACGCTGGCCAAGTGCGGGTTGGCGGACTTCAGATATTGTGTTTCGAAAACTTGCTATGTTCTATCAGCCATGTAGGTTTCCTTGCGATCTTTTATTTCACCACTCACTTTGAGTAATAATTATGTTGAAAATGATTCGCAAATAAAAACATCAAAGATGCCAGACCCGGGACTTAAACCCACTTGATTTTTCCACGCGAGCACGTTACACCTGGACTACGCCGTATACCACTTATTTTATTTATTTTCTTATAATCTAGTTAAATTAGAACAAATATAATTACTTGAAGCATCTAACAGACATCAGATCTCTTTTATTTGGTAACACGGCTTCCATATACTTTGCCACAAAACTCTTGTAGCCATTCTCTTGAGACGCGAGTGTGCGTCTTATTTTGTCCATTATCAACGCTACATTGGCCATAGGATACTGAAAATAAATATAAAATGAGTTTATAATAGATCGTCAATTAATCTATTAGAAGATTACCATTATATTTTCATTCCCTATACTTTAGGTCTAGCTCGTTTTACTTTGAAGTATGGCATTTAGGTATTAAGACGGTGGTCTAGACTTGGACATTAGATTGGCAAAAATTTTCGATTTCTAATCTATACATATAATAAAATTGTAACTAAGTCGAATCTGTACATTAAATATTTTTTGGAAAATCTAATTGAAATAGACATTTTTATCGATACAGAGTCCGAATCTATAGTTTTTAGAATTTTTGTCTGTCTGTCTGTTACCGCATCACGAGAAAACCACTGGACAGATTTTGATGAAATTTGGTATGATGATAGCTGGTTATCCGGGTCAACATATAGGATACTTTTTACCGCAGAAAAATATCTCATTTCTGAGAAAAAATACAAAAATTGCATTGTAAGAGTATACCAACATGTAAAACCTAAGAATTTGGTTTTTAGTCATGTCAACGCGGGCGGAGCCGCGGGCAATACTAGTAGATAATATTATTAGAATTTAAGAATTGTTAATGCCATGTGACTTTTATTAGATCAAATTCATAGAAATTTCTAATATTTGAGTGAACATTATGTATTAAAAAACCCCAAAAATTACAAAATGTACAGTAATATATTTTAAATATACCTACCTCATTCGAATTTAATTCCATGTATCTCAAAGCATATTCATCAGCCGCAATGAGTCGGAAATGGTGTTTGTTTATCACCAATTCGTTGCCGACCCACATGTCTTTGTCTGTATATGACGGAGGCTCATTTGGAACGAAGAAATCAACGTTTGGTAAATACATTTTATCGCGTTTAAAGAACTTTCCTCCCTGTTGATAATAATTTACAAGATTTTAAGGCATTTGTAGGTATTCATTGTTATATGAAGTAGCTTTAATAAATGTAATACGTATAATTTTGGAAATATTAACAACAAAGAAATAAATAAGGAAGGATAGTAAATGGTAATATATGCGGTAAACATATAAATTTGCTTTCTATATACGGATAGATCAATTAAAAATGCAGTTTTCAGTACATACAAGTATAAAATTTGGGTTATTGAATTATAATATTTATATTCGAAAGACACAAACTTACACTAAACCCTGAATTACGTTCACTAAGTTCAAAAACACCAATGGTGTCGTCACACAAAAAGTATTTTACTATAAAGTAGCGTCGTTGGTCTACAGGATCGTCGCTGATTAGTCTCGCTGCGAAGCGGAGAATATGAGAGTCAAATCCGATTCTGTAACAGTTATTTAATTACCTAAATTAAAAAAATTAGTGTCCCGGAACGTGTTAAATTATGAATTAAGATTATAATTTATATTATCTATGAATGAATATATTCAAGTTTTTTATATGCTTTATTCCTGTACCTGTCCTTATTTAGAAATTTAATGAAATCCCTATGAGGCGCCTTCGGCTCAACAGTCCTGCAGTTTTCCGCGGAATCTTCATACGAACCGTAACCGTTCCAAGGTGGCAATTGACGCGTTGACATATTCGTTGTTATACATTCACTACTTTCATCTTTCGGTAAAGACAAAGGAGAGAATGCATCTGTAATAAAAATCCCATTAAAATATGTCCAGATTGTTTGTTTTTGTTTGTTTGGACACGCTATTTATTGAGTGGAAGTATCTTCATCACGCTATATTCTTATTTCGGAACTATAGCAATGCAATGCGAATAATAGCAATGCAAAGTTTGGGTAAAAAAAGTACGTCAACTTGTTGGCCATTCTTTGTATATATCAAGTGCCATATTTAATATCTTTCTTGTAACTACATGATATACATTATTTTTAAAACAAATTTTACAACAATAGATATCTGCTGATGCCAGCATATACCTAAAATATAATGAGCGCGTCGCCGTATTAAAATATGTATAATATATAAATAAATAAATAAATAAATATGTCAGGACATTAACACACAACACCATCTAGTTCCATGGTAAGCTAGGCTTGTGTTATGGATACCAGATAGTTGATACATTATACATATATAACTTTTAAATACATACATATTATAAATATAAACAGTAAACACCCATGACTGGAGTACAAACATTTGTGCTCAGCACACAAATGATTGCCCCCAGCGGGACTCGAACCCGCGACCGCTGGCGCAGCAAGTAGGGTCACTACAAACTGAGCCAAACGTGTCGTCAAACTTGCCGTATATATTAATTATATACATATCATACCAAATCCATAAGTAACACGATAATACTCCTTAGTAAATGGATCGCAATCTGTAAGTATCACTTTGCGCCCGTACACATTAACTACGGCGCCGATGCTCAAATCCGCAGGAGTGTACGAGGCGTGTTTCGGACCTCCTGTCATTTCTATGTGCGGTGGAATTTTCTATAATAACACATCAGCTATATATAATAAATAAGTATGTAATAATCATACAACAGTGTATAGTATTTGAATGTTTAATTCTAACTAAAATTTTGAATTAATAAATTCAGTACTAGCATGCGGAACATACCAATAGAAAAGAATATACTGAAATGTGTAAATATTCATTAAGTAAATTAACTTACCCTTGGCAATCGCATTCTTTTTAAAAACATAGGTCCGGCTTCCATACCCGAGTTGGGTGGAAGAACTTCTTTAATTTCCATAGTGTCATCAGCCAAAAAATAATGAATTTCCAAATGATGTATGGTGCCGAATTCTGAATCACGATCATCCCAATAACCTTGAAATCTAAATAAGTATAAGTGTATATTTCCATCAGAAGCAATATAGCAAAAACAAAAAAATAGCAATTTGATAGTCTTTTTACCTTTTTACTAATGTAAATTCCATGTCGATTAAAATTTTTACTTTTATACATATTTGTTATAATTTTTACTTTTACTCAAAAAAGAATAACTTACTTTTATTGTATTGTCTCATATAATCACAGACTTTTATTTGGTGCCATTCTGGTTGTGCCCTAAATTTTTGTTATAATTAAAATCTTTAAAAAAAAGTTTATACCTCAGAACTTGTCTATCAAAATCTAGAAACTGGCGAAAAGGACGATGTTTTGGAGGTTTCGAGGTATCTGGAGCTCTCTAGAAAAATGTGTTATATTTAAGAACATTCAAATAATAATAACAAATAAATACAATACCAAAAAAGTCAGCTAACTTGCCTCAATAGCATCAGGCCAAGGAATTGGATCAGGAATGTTAATGCCAAGACGATTCAAGAACACTCTTGTAAAGTTGTCACAATTAACAATCTGTTGAAAAAAATCCGTTAAAAGGTAAATAGGAAATTATGTTGAATCCTCGTATACTTTTATTTATTAATATTTCATTACCTTGAACACTTTTCCGTAAAAAGTGACCTCACGTCCTATATTCAAATCAAGAACGTCATAGTACAAGTCGGTACTAAATGGAAGTCGTATTCTTTGACGACTTATAAGGGTACCTAGTAACAATCTAATAATTTAACAATATACTGAAGGTAAATAATATAGAAAAAAACATTTTGTCTCAGTGTTAATCTATACATATAATAAAATTCTAACTAAGTCAAATCTGTACATTAAATATTTTTTAGAAAATCTTATTGAAATAGACATTATTATCGCTAACAGGGGCCGAACCTTTAGTTTTAAGAATTTTTGTCTGTCTGTGACCTCATCACAGAAAAATCACTGGAGGGATTTTGAAGAAATTTGGTATGATAATAGCTGATTATCCGAGTCAACTAATATACCAGTACGAGTATAGTAATATATAAAACCTAAGAATTTGGTTTTGGTCATATGAACGCGGGCGGAGCCGCGGGCAATGCTAGTATTATATTATAAATGTCCACTTTACCAAAAGAGTTTTACATTTTTTATGATAGAAATTATTGATATAAAAATTTCGATTTTACTTTAGAGAAGCCGAAAAAATATATTTTATCTATAAATGAATATGAATCTTAAAAATATAGCTATCTTAGTAGAGGAAAAAACTCTCTTCTGTACAGAACAAAAACATTATTGGTAATTTAGACAAATAATCAACGATGTGTTGGAATTACCTTGTGATAAACCACTGTTCTCAGTTTTTGGTTCAATAACTTTTATCGTGCCATCTTCGAGAAAGAACAAAATTTCTACTTTACGCAGTATTCGAGCACCTGAACGCATTTCGTGTAACGTTTGTTGAAAAAACGCTTGAAACCGCAATATCTAAATTTTAATTTATACAAACATTTTATTTCAATACATTTATTCATTTGTTTTGTATAATAATATATTTATCTATACAACTGCTTCGGTGGTGTAGTGGCTAGCATGTACGGCTGCACACTCGGAGGTCCTGGGTTTGAGTCCCGGGTCGGGCCAAGTTTAGTTATTGAGTCTTTCTGTATAGTAAGTCTCAGTAACAGCCCGGAGTTGGGATGTTGGCGGTGTTTCACCCCCGTGCCTCGGAGAGCACGTAAAGCCGTCGGTCCTGCGCCTTAACTCTCACCGGTCGTGTCGAGCAGTCGTCCCACCGGAGTATGAGAGTGACAGGAATAGAGAGTGCACTTGTGTCTGCGCACTATAATATCTCCTGCGCAGTTGGCTAGTCTCAATGAGATTGGCCGCCGTTGCCGGAATCGGCTAGGAGAACATCATCATTTATCTATACATATAATAAAATTCTAACCAAGTCAAATTTGTACATAAAATATTTTTTGGAAAATCTAATTGAGATAGACATTATTATCGATACAGAGTCCGAATCTATAGTTTTTAGAATTTTTGTCTGTCTGTCTGTCTGTCTGTCTGTTAACATCACCAGAAAACCACTGGATAGATTTTAATGAAATTTAGTATGATGATAGCTGGTTGTCCTGGTCTACATATAGGATATTTTTTATCACGGGAAAATATCTCATTTTTGAGAAAAAATACAAAAACTGTATTGTAAGAGTATACTAATATGTAAAACCTAAGAATTTGGTTTTTGGTCATCTGAACGGGGCGGAGCCGCGGGCAATGCTATTTATACATATATATATATATATATATATATATATATATGTGTGTGTGTGTGTGTAGTATATATATATGTCGTGTTATCCATATCCTTTTTTTTTTTTTTAACGTTGGGAAATGCATTTACGCACGACGTGTGGGACTCACCGACGTAATACAGCCAGTACTACACATATATATAGCATTATATATATATATACTAGCATTGCCCGCGGCTCCGCCCGCGTTCAGATGACCAAAAACTAAATTCTTAGGTGTTACATATTAGTATACTCTTACATTGCAGTTTTTGTATTTTTCCTCAGAAATAAGATATTTTCCCGCGGGAAAAAGTATCCTAGGATCGCGCGCTACATCGCCCGGTTTATATAGCTTGAGCAGGCGGTCGAGCGATGCGGGGCAGAGGGGATGGACTCGCCGTAGGCATCTCAATGCTCGCCAAGCATTAAAAATGTTTCGCTACTAATTACTTCTAACAACGATATCTCAAAAACTATTCATCTGATTGATTTAGTGTAAAGAGCAATTTTAATCTGCATTAAATGACTAAGCTAACTAAAATATTCATTTGGATAAGGATTAATACCGAACTAAAGAAAATAACTTTGAAAATAACGTAATGTTTTTAATTAAAAATGTTAACATAAAAGTGGTTATTGTAAGTCAACCGTAAGAGATAGAGATATGCTATCGCGGACTTTTTTGTAGCATTTTTATAGATTTTGAATTCTCTAGTACATTACTTAACTGTATCTTTGCTAGTTTACGCGGCGTTCGCGTGGAAAGTTCCCATTTGGCGAGATTTTTTGCGACCTCTTCAACATTTGTCGCCGTATTTCAGCTAATTTACATAAAAGCATAATAAATTATATACCTAAACCTTCCTCAAGAATTACTCTTTCTATTGTTGAAAACCGTATAAAAATCCGTTCAGTAGTTTTCGAGTTTATCGCGTTCAGACAGACAGGAGGACAGAAAGACGCGGCCGGGGGACTTATTTTTATAATAAGTATAGATAGATATATATATGTGTAGTATATATATATATATATATATATATATATATATATATATATATATATATATATATATATATATATAAGACGGAGGAGGATTTAGTTACCTTTTTCTGTTATGAAACCTTATTATTATTTAAAGTCACTATGTCCTTTAATTTACTTTTTATTGCTTATTTTGAATTTAGAGCAGAGATTTAGTCTCGAGCGGGGTCGAGACGCCATCACGACATTCTTTGGAGATACGTGGCTTAGTAACGTTGGTTATCATATCATGGTGGATCAGTTATGTTTGATATTGTAGTTGGAAGTCGATGATCGGTGACTGTGGACCCGCTAGCTCTAAATCATTAGAATTACCGTTTCAAGTTTATAACATTGTGACTTCCCTGATTAAATTGTGTATTGAGCACTGAATACTTTATTATTTGAGCCCTGATAACGCCCACAAGATGAGTAACCACTAAAGATGATGTTCGTAGTATATGGATAACACCCCCCCAACGTGCGTTCACCTTGTCGTGGTGGGGGGGCTCAGTAGTGCCCGGCAATCCAACCGGACGCGAAGCTAAGAAACGCACAGGGAGGTTGCCCACTTTGGTAGGCGGTGGGAGGTGGCCCTCTTCGGGGGGCGGTGTGCCATGCGGGTTGCTCCTGGTACTTCTCTGATAGCAGAGTGGACCTTGGAGCGACCCCATGGTTGTGGTGGTCGGCAGACCTGCCGTCGGGGCGTCGTAGTTGAATGCGTAAGCGATCCTGCGACGCCCCATTAAGACGGGGGATGGTTTTGTTGGGTTTTAGTGGGTAGTACTGGCTGTATTACGTCGGTGAGTCCCACACGTCGTGCGTAAATGCATTTCCCAACGTTAAAAAAAAAAAGTATATGGATAACACGACATATATATATATATATATATATATATATATATATACAGGGTGTCCCAGAACTCAACGTCAAGCCGAAACGGGGCGACAGGATTGATTGTAAACATCATGAAAAAAATCAGAAAAAATATCTATCTCATGCAGTTTGAAAATTATGGGCATTTAAGAAAAACCAAAAAATTTGGTCACACTGTAATCATTTTTCGGTTATTGTGGTTAATTTTTATTATTTTTGTTCATTTAAACTTTGGAACCGTAACCCTAAATAACATTTCTAGAATCACAGTCAAAAATAATGACACAATTGCCCCAAGTTTCCTGGAATTAAGACTATTTGTTAAACTATGAATTTAAAATTTTCAAAATTTGTCAACTTTGAAAGGTCCTCCTTTAAAAAAAATGTATTAGAGCGCCTTGGCAAGTGCCGTTAAAAGTTAGCGCATTTAATCAGGATTGTAAAATGGTACAATACTTGTTAGTTTCATACTAAAAAAAACGAGTAAAAAAATAAAAACCCAAACTCCAAACTCAAGTAACCCGATTTTTGCTAACCCATTTTACTCAGTTAAAATGTTTTTTATTCGCACAAGCTCTTGGTAGGTTCTTAATTTCACGGCAAAATGATGAGAGAGATGGGTAGTGGACATGTTTGCCATAAGCGAGCGAGACAGATAGTGACGCCACGCAGTGAGACGAAGATGCGTCGTTTAACCGAGTGCGAATTAAACAGATACAGACGCCATACCAAGCTCATTCGTCTACTGCGCACCTTTCGGTATTCGCGTGTGTTAATTTAGTACTGACAACTTTGGCCTCTCTTTTTGGAATTGTACTTTTGTCTTGGCATCCTTGTTATCTGCCATGCCTACGCGCTACACTTCACAAGAATATGCGAACATGCACCTCATTCATGGGGAATGCAGATGCAACGCAAGTGCTGCCGCTTAATCGTGAAAGATATCCAAATTTGGAGCGCTATCCGGATCACCGCGTATTTGTTAATGTGCACTGTTCAATCAACCTTATTAGAGGACGTACCACTAGCAGATCGTCGTCACATGTGGTATCAACAAGATGGCTGCCCAGCGCATTACGCAGTGCAAGTAAGACATTGCCTTGACCATCAATATCCGGGAAGGTGGATTGGTCGTTCAGGCACTATCTCGTGGCCAGCCCGTTCCCCAGATTTAAATCCCCTGGACTTTTTTTATTGGGGCATTCTCAAAGAAACAGTTTATTCAAAGCCCATTGAGAGCGTAGCCGACCTGCGTGAACGAATTTCTCAAGCTGCTGAGGACATCAACTCTCGAGGATATGCCAGGCTAATAAGTAGATCGTTTTTAAGATGTAAGGCGTGTATTGAAGCTGATGGTAAACAATTTGAACATTTGTTGTAATAAAAAATGTTATTTCCCTATCTGACTTTTAATATTTCAATAAACCTAAACTAAACTAGGTCAAGATTTTTCATTATTTTATTAATTTTACTTACTTTTGTTGACTTTGGTAAAAGTGGCGTCACTATCTGTCTCGCTCGCTCATGGCAAACATGTCCACTACCCATCTCTCTCATCATTTTGCCGTAAAATTAAGAACCTACCAAGAGCTTGTGCGAATAAAAAACATTTTAACTGAGTAAAATGGGTTAGCAAAAATCGGGTTACTTGAGTTTGGAGTTTGGGTTTTTATTTTTTTACTCGTTTTTTTTAGTATGAAACTAACAAGTATTGTACCATTTTACAATCCTGATTAAATGCGCTAACTTTTAACGGCACTTGCCAAGGCGCTCTAATACATTTTTTTTAAAGGAGGACCTTTCAAAGTTGACAAATTTTGAAAATTTTAAATTCATAGTTTAACAAATAGTCTTAATTCCAGGAAACTTGGGGCAATTGTGTCATTATTTTTGACTGTGATTCTAGAAATGTTATTTAGGGTTACGGTTCCAAAGTTTAAATGAACAAAAATAATAAAAATTAACCACAATAACCGAAAAATGATTACAGTGTGACCAAATTTTTTGGTTTTTCTTAAATGCCCATAATTTTCAAACTGCATGAGATAGATATTTTTTCTGATTTTTTTCATGATGGTTACAATCAATCCTGTCGCCCCGTTTTGGCTTGACGTTGAGTTCTGGGACACCCTGTATATATATATATATATATATATATATGTGTGTATATATATATATATATATATATATATATATGTAATAGTTTAAATAACACAACTATTAAAGGAAATTTAGACTTTTACATTTTACATACATGCTTATCATACATAATCCATGTGGGAAGATCTGGTGCTTGTTTTCGACAGTATAAGGATGGCACCCGGTTTACGCCCTCTGCCTTATCAACTAACATATTTACTTTATCAATTGAAGTAAATATGGGTCGCACCCCAAAGCTTGTTTTGCCAATCTGAAAAATAATTATAAATATATCACTGTCCCGTTAAAGTACATCGGACCGTCAGTTTATCACTTTTTAAACACACTTACGACTTTTTAAATTATTATTAAATCGCTAAACATTTTACGTACTTGAAATTCTATAGAAAAGTGTAAGGATAGATACCTACTGGACGGGAAAACATAGAAGTTATTCAATCAATTTATTAGTATCAAGTATTCCGAAAATACTTAATGGATATATTATAATATTATTAAGTTAGTACAGTATGTGTACAAAATGCTAGGATCAATGCTACATAATTCGCAGGTAACATGGTATAGAGGTACTTGTACATATATGTATATTTAAATATTCTATAATATATATACCTAAAGGAAAATCACTGCATGTAGATTCACAAAAATATTGCTTTATACTAGTGGGAAGACTCGGGATAACACTTAGGATACGATGAATACTCAAAAAGTAAAAAAATAGTATAGTTTGATAAGAATAAAATAAAAAACCTTCATTAAACTTTAAAATGAAAACTATTGCGTCATTTTTAATGTGACCCACCGTGATATTTATTACTTGTAAGTTACCTACATAATAATATAATATTGTAATACCTACAATATGACTTTAGCGACATGATATCTAATATAAAGTCTATGTTACATACCTATGTGTCCTAAAAAAAATTTTCGATTCATTTAAATAACTAAACAATTTATTGTAAAATTAATGTGCACCAAATATTATTTTTTTATTACCATTGGATTTGTGCCATATCCGGGTAATAACGGCAATCGTGGATTGCGTGTCACCATGACTGATATTATTATTATTATAAATAAAAGTATCTAATATATGTTTAGTGTAAAAACAAACGCCGAGTAAATTTATTAGAAATATGATCTTAGATAACAAAAATGTTTCCATAGTAACATAATTATTATTTTGCTTTATCTATAAAAAGTCATTAAAAAAACGCCCACTTATTGTACTTTCTTTTCTATAAACATTAAAAAGGTGATTTCAATTTTAATTTTTTTTATGGTCCAAAGCAATCTTCAACTTTACTTTAAGTTTATTAAGATTACGTTCCTCTAACTACTTTTATTTATTTATGTATATTTCATATGTATGGCTGAAATCTGAGTGATAAATGAACATACATAACATGTTACATGTACATACATCCACAGAGAAAATATCTAAGCACAGAAAGACAATGACATATCTCCTGATATTGTCTATGCAATGAGATGAATCGTTTCTGGTGGCACTAATTGGCGCCACTAACGAGTAAGGTCCTATCGTTGTCGTGGAAACAATATTTGCTAATGCTTCAGGCCAATAAATTTATGATAATAATAATAGTTCGCGTGAAAAGAGTTTTATCAGGATTTGATAAATAATTAATCATACCGAAATAAATAAAATATTGACTTGTTCTTAATCTTACCTCTTCTTATAAAGGAATAAGCTTTATTGAGCCGTACCGTATTTGCCATAAATAATCAGGAATGGCACAATCTATTCTTTACAATGATCATGAATGAAATAATTAGTGAAAATCCTCGATGAAAAAGCTCGCAAGCAGTGCACATTCAGTATTATGACATTTCTACAGACCTTACACTACACTAGCGCCCTCTTGTGGCGAATTGAAGCGCGGTTGCCCTCATTGTGAATGTGAAGTGTGAACTGTGACCATAGAGTATATGCTGTGACCTATTGACAAATGACAATATCATACGATATCATTATAGTATATTGCTACATATATAAATTAGATATCGAACTTCGAAGTTTGTTTTTAATCTAGCAAATCTATTTAAAATTTATTCAACGTTTTAATTATATTAGAAAGGCTTCCATTTAAATTATTGTATAGAAAAATAAATAATTACTTAGCATGTAATATTAATAAAGTGCGCATTTTATTTTTAAAAGGTACTTTAAAAAATCAAAATGATTGATGTTAAGAATAAAATAATTTCTTTCTTTATATTTAATTCTAATTATGGTCCTAAAGAAGAAGAAGTAAGTAATAAATTATATTTTTTGGTCTCCTATTTCTCTGTTCGTGTTTTCGTTACTTACTATACATATTTTCAGGAGCTTAAACGAATATTATTTTTCCATCCCAGTCACATATCATCTGATGCTAGAAAAATGCAAGTAGGTTTATGTGAAGCTGTTGTAAAATTTATGACGTAAGTCTAAAAATTTGTATGTATTACTATGTAAATTCTTGATTTCTCTATAGAAATGATATTTGACTCAAAATGGATATAAATACAAGCTAAAGTTAAATATACATTATAAACAGGGGTTACATTTGCATACCCAGTATATAAGTAATAGTTTTATTATTTTATTAGAACATTTTCATCAGAACCATGTGAAGCTTTACAAACACAATCAAAAAGATATATCTTTTACCAACCAGAGAAAAATTTTTGGATGGTCTTGGTAAGATTTTCCTAGTATTATTTTTTCTATAAATTTATTTCATAATTAATTTTACTTTGTCTTATTTGTTTTGTATTGTTAATTTTAAGGTCATAAGAATACCTTATGCTACAAAAAATGTGGTAGCTGGGGGAGAAAAGAATGAATATGTAAGTAAAATTAATTTCAAATGCAATTTTATTTGTATACAAATACGTAGTAACAAAATTTGTTTTAATTGCTTACAGATTGAACCATCCGTGATGTATGATTTACTTGTATCAGCTTACAAGATGTTTAGAATGTTTGTAGGTCAGTTCAAAGACATTTCACCAGAAGAGATATATAACAAATGTGAACAGTTCTTTACTCCAGTAAGTTTAATCTTATTTGTATATAGTTTTTTTTTATTTGATATTAATACACATTTTCTTTGTTTTAGTACATTATGTCAAGAAATATTTCTAATGATATGAGCAGTATAATACAAGGCATAAGCTATTTGCCACTTGAAAAAAATTCATTTTTCAAAGTAATATGTTTTATAGATTTACTAGAAATCAGTTATCCAGATTTCAAATGTGTCTCTTTTATTTATAATGATCAACTCATATGGTAAGTATAGGAAAGCATTGGAATATTTATCTTTATTTATACTTTTAAATGTTATACAGCATATAGCTGTTATTAATGAATATACTGACACATTTTTATAATCAATATAAAATCTTTCCTATTTTTAATAATTGTATATATAATCTTTAATATGAAATTGAGTTAAGGGTTTTTATTAGTCTTTTATTTGTCAGAAATCAAGTTATTTTCAGGCAAGACATGCCACATTTATAATATTTTCAAAAAAGTATTAAAAAGTATTCAATTCAATAAATCAATTTACAGGAATGGCCTTGTTACAAGTGATATGTTGACATTATACCAATACTTAGTCCAAAGTTTACTACCAAAGCAAGTCGAAAAGGAAATTCAAGGAGGAGCTATAACTGCTGCTCAGAGACATGGTCGTTTTATTAGCCCTCCAGAAGGCATTCGCAGCGTAGAAGACTTGCAGAAACTACACAAAGTTTACATAATGCATGAAGATGATTCTGAAACAAAACAGTACTATCTTGTTATATATAGAACCTTAAGTGCCACAGTGTGTTTCACAGTTGATGGTAAAAATTTACTTTTATTTAGACTTCAATAAGTTAAAAATTTATTTTACAATATTTTAAGATATAAATGTATATTTTACAGTTACAACAACTCTAAATATAGATACATTTAGAGCTTTGGATGCATTCATTGGACCTCACCTATCAACGATTGCATCATCTATAAGTGAACAGTGTACAATCCATGCCTTACAAAATGCACAACTTGCCAATTCTGATCACAAATTTTTATATTTTAATAGATTGAACCTGGCACACAAAACATCAGTATGTATGGATTTTATGTTATTATCGAGATATTTTCAAAACATCTAGCCAATATTTTCTTCCTAATCATACCACATACTCAATGTTAAAAGTAACTGTAAAATTTTAGACACCAGCAACAACCTTAATTCCATCAACAGCAGTGAAGCCAGAAGTTTTAAGTATAATTGCTGGCATACATGGTGACAGGAAAAGGTGAGCTTATTGATATTCATATATAGAATATTTTAATCTATACAGATAAATTAAATGGAAGTGTCTGTTTATAATGTCAAAATAACAGCTTACCTAACGCATATGAAAGTATATTAGGTAATAATAAGAAAGAACCATTTTTTAATTTTTGTCTGTGTATCTGTTTTTTCCGGATAATCTTTAAATTGGCTGAACCCTAACGGATAGCAAATGTTTTAAGGACTGTTAGATGTTACTTTTATTTTAGAAAAAAATCAAGGTTCTGCACAAAAAAATTAAAACCCATGAAATTGTGAACAAAATCCGTGTACCTCTGATACCTGGATTCACCTGAGCGTGAAGTGAGGGTAAGCTAGTTGTTAATATTTAAAGATAGAACTATTTACATGTAAAATGTTTTATGTTTATTAATGTATAATGTTTCAGCTTGGGTAATTATGGTGAAATTATTATTAAAACCCCAGATGAATACTGGATTGCAGGAAAATCATCTAATGACCGAGAATTCTATGCAATTATACAGGACAAAAATGCCAATTTAAAAGATATAGCAGGTACTTTGAATTAGCCTTATTTGTAAACCTAATCCATCCATTCTGTATCTACTGACTGCAGCGTATTTACTCAATCATACATTATTTAATCAACTAGATAGAAAAAGTTAAAATTTGATCTACATTCAGTGGGTTGACGTTGAGCATTAAACATTGTAAAACTATCTATAACAGAATATCTCATATTATACCCATTCATTATAGAAAGTTTAATGTTATAATAATTCTTATAATAAAGTACATACAAGTACATAATATGAATTTAACTTGTCTTAATTAACCAATTTTTATAGCATAATACTAGCATTGCCCGCGGCTCCGCCCGCGTTCAGATGTCCAAGAATCAAATTCTTAGGTTTTACATATTAGTATACTCTTACATTGCAGTTTTTATATTTTTTCTCAGAAATGAGATATTTTCCCGCGGTAAAAAGTATCCTATATGTTGACCCGGATAACCAGGTATCATCATACCAAATTTCATCAAAATCCCTCCAGTACTTTTTCCGTAATATGGTAACAGACGGGCGGACAAAAATTCTAAAAACTAGATTCGGCCTAATGTCTATTTCAATAAGATTTTCTAAAAAATATTTAATGTACAGATTTGGCTTAGTTACAACTTTATTATATGTATAGATTATATAAAATATATTTATGTAAAATTACTTTTTTCCAGATGAAGTAAGAAGAATGTGTGAAGAACAAATGAAAGGTGTCTTCTTCTACCCTATGTAAATTAAATACAAAACTTTATTTTAGGTTATATATTTATAATGCAAGTTATTTAAACAAACTTATTATTATATATTACATTTCCTTAAATAAAATACTATGTAAAACATATATTATATTATTTTATTACAATTACAATAATATTAGTATAGATACATGTATTACACTTTATTAAAACATTATATAAGCCTAACAATATGAATGCTAATCAGTTGATAACTTCTTTTCATCTTTTATAATAATTTTTTTGTATGTTTTAACAATAAGATCCTTATTCTCATAGGCCCAGGATAGCAACACACAGATAAAACACACCATACCAATTCCAATATGAGTGATTATTGAATTATAAGAAAATTTATTCTCTGAAATTTTACATAAACATCCAGCAATGACTAGAGTAAATAAGAAATATTTACCCACATAAAGCCCATGAAGGGGTCTATAATCTGTATCTTTATACTTATCATTAATAAAATGTATACTATGCAATATTCTGGCAAACATATTTATGCAGTTGGAAACAATAAACCCAACTGGCCCTAAGACATATGTTAAGACATATGATAATAATAAGAAACTTATTGAAAAGAAAACCATCAAATAATTATAACTGTTTAACTGTGTACTGGTCATTGTTGCAAATGCATAACACTCAGTTATGCCATTAATAGCCATTAACACAATAGCTAAGCAATGACTCTGTAGCAACTGTACTGGCAGACCACTAGCAACAAAAGCTTCACCTCCATACAAAGTCAATAATGTGCGAGAATAACTAAAGCCAAATACTAAAACCACCAGTCCAATAGAACTAACAGTTTTGCACACTTGCGACAAAACAGTGCAAGATTCTTGTATTTTATGTTGCTCCTGCTTATATATAGGCAAATCTCTGCTTACCATTTGTGTAAAATAAAAATAACTGCTATCTTCTATAGGTCGAAATATAAACCTAGCAGCTAGACTCCCTAAATTATTTACAACATCATATGTAGCTTGTTCAGTAAATGTCATCACTGGACTAACGGACATAACATACTTTTCTCCTTCAGTCAATATCTGCTTTACCACACCTTGCTTTGCAAAACTAAAAGTTAAAGTGTTTAATTTTTTATTAAAACTCGTGCTTAATGAACCTAAATATTTTGGGAAAAAATCTAAGAGAGATATGAAATTAAAATCATCCATATTACTGTACAATTTTTGTAATATGTTATTTGGTACAAATTTACTCTTTAAAGCTCCTTTAGCATATAATGGCTTACATTTAATGTACCAATAAAAAAATAAATAGTAAGCCACAACAATAACTGCAATACTTCCAACTTGTGCAACAGAAAATGCTATGAGAGCTAAAGATCTGTCATATAAAATAATAGATAGAAACAATAATGTCCTAACAAAAATATGTAAAGCATCTAAAATAACTTTCAGTTTAACAAAGCAGAAAAGTTGTGCAACTAAGACCATGTTTGCTGAACAAAGTTCTAAAATGCATGAGAAGGCTACACTCCAACATCCAAACTCATACTGAAAAGCATGTTCTGGATTACCAAGAGGTAATACATGCAGCCAAATGTACACAAAAATACATGACAAAACACAGCTTATAGGAACTGATAGCCAAATTTGATTTATGATTTGATGCCAATGAAATTCATCTTTCTGACCTAAACATGCACGATGGAATGGTTCTCTACTTAGAAAAAGTATAGTACTTTCGAGTAATAATAATCTTACATTCATTATTCCTATAACTTCATGACCAACATTTCTAATTACCCAAGCATTGATTATAAAAGTTATACATCTAAATAATATTTGGAGTAATATATTAAATGACGCATTTTCCAGGCTGCTCATCAATAAGTTTCGACCCATTTTATTGAATTTGATTTTAGTTTTCAAGCATTGACAGCTATACTTTCAGAAGATGATATCTGTATGCTTCTCTTTACAACATATATTTTTTTATTAGATATGCAGATAACAAACCAATGATCATCATATGATATTGATATCTTCTTAAATTTTTCTTCTGGTCCAAATGCAACTGGATCGATACTGTAAATCAAAAATTCACTAGATATAGCAAATTTAGTGGTAAAATTTACCTGACGTATATTATATTTATAGCTTTTCTAACCTATTAGATAAACTGATTAAATCAGTTACAATTGTTGCAACACGTTCGTCGTTTTCGAGCTCACCACCGGATTCTAGGACTGCGCCGTCCTCAGTTAGTATCAAGAATCCGAGTTGGTCTGGAATTTTTTCCATTATAACTGAAAATTTTACACGTAAAACAATGAACAACGTTAATATAAAAGCGATGTATATTTATTTATTCATACCTTTATTTATATATATATTATGTCAAAAACAAAATTTATTGAACATGACAATCAGACAATTGACAATTTACAATAAGGTGTGACCATTTCAAAATTGGACAAACTGCGAGCGAAAGCAAGTTGCGGATAATCTGCCAAATGGGGTAGATTTCTCGGAAAGAGGGCGCCACACGTATGGCCTATTTTCATTCAATCTGAGGTTAAGCAATTTATTGTGATATCTCTTTTAAACCTGGTTTTCTGCTTCTATTGTGCTTGCATCTTATCTGTACAATGTATCGTACCTGGAAGTTAGACCAGCAAGGAAGAATTGAGAAGGTGCATCCATGACGGATCAACACAGAGCCTAAGCCTGGTCGTAGAATCGTGAAACTTAGATGACGTATTCTTTATGATATAGGCGTCTGATATAAAAGGATTTTTCGAAATTCATTCACTAAGGGGTTGAAATAAGGGATGATAGTTTGTATGAAACTTTGTAATTAATATGTAAAAAAGTACATGAATATATATAATTAATATGTTAAAAATATTTACCTGGGAACAAATGATATCCATTTTATTTGCACCCTAATACTGCATAATTTGTCTTTAAAATTAAATTTTGAATAAAATGAAAAAATATCCATCCTTGCTGTAGAGCTTTACAATATACTGAAGGCTAGTATGATCGCGACATCTAGCGGGAGAGTAAGGAAAAATTCTTCCTCATCTGTAAGGTGTAGTCTGTGCTTCTTAGTTCTTGTCATTCTATTCAAACGTCTCCATAATCTGTGATTCAAATTATAAACCTGTCATCATCAGCGTAAGAATTTTTTGAGGAAAAATTTTTTGCATACCTATCCTTCAGCTTCATCTAATAGCCTACTATCTCGCGATAAACAAACAGGTAAATCCTATATTTATATACTACATCAATATTGAATACTAGATATATATACTACGTGGTAGATCAAATATCTTATACATAGCATTACAATATAGCTACAACATCATTATACTCAATATAATAACATATTGTCAGGTTTCTTGATTGATCTTAATTTTTTTATCTATTTTATAAAGTCTGTTTGAATTTTCATTTTACGTAACTTGCCTGAAAGGAACTAAGCAAATTGTACTTAAACAATTAATTCTTCATATAAGTTCTGACTTCTGTGTGAGGTAATGCTACAAGAGCTATTTATTTTTTATGTTAAATTCGATCCTTTTTTATGTGACTTAGAATTTGCACGATGCTGTATGGAAAAGTTTGTAATGCATTTAAACTATATATTTATTTATACTGTTATGTTTGTACTCTTCAGTGACGATCCTTAAATTTTTGACTGAATTATCTTAAATTAGCGACTTATCGCTTCGTTTGGGTGTGATATATATATAAATAGTTTTGCAAGTGCACCTTAGGAGAAAAACTTATGCTATTGTAGATTTTGCAGGCCTTTTTAAAAACTACAATTTTCTAGTTTGTAGTCTATTTTGATGTAACTCCTAAGGTATAGCCAGTGTTATTTTAGTAATAGGTTATCACTCCACAACATTTAGTACAAAATCAGTTCAGTATGTTTTGTGTGAAATATGCACACCCAAACGGACAAATTTTTTAATGACTTTTAAGATCTATATTCTGTACACAATATATTACAGTCATTGTTTTTAAAAAAATATTTCATGTACAGATTTCGCTAAGTTCCTGTTTTGTTATATTTATAGATGAGATCCATTTAAAAAAAATATATAATAGACTAGGCTGGCTTACCCTCTGTTAGAGTGCAGATTTCATCTGTTACATAATAATAAGTGCATTATTGAGATGTTTAAAATAACCCATAGAAATTTATAACTTGCAGGTTTACAAACATTTTTTAAAGTAAATGAAAATAAAATATTAACCTACATTTCTTTTAATGTAATATTCGTAATTTCCCTAGAAATCTTAGATCCATTCTCAAGTGATATATATGTTTACAAAAATGAACCTTTTTTTATAGGCAAAAATGTTAAGATTTCGGCCCAAATTGGGCACAGAGCGCAGCAAGGAATGGCGTTGCTGTTTTTGTCTTCATGTTCGAACTGGGACAATTCTGTTGGGCACATGGCATTTGGTTTGTATTTTTATTATTATTAGAAGCATATGTATCTTACTCTCGAGTCTCCTACCCTCTGCCAGCTAATCATACAATAAACCTTTAAAATTCTCTGTGTATGGGTTTTACAAAAACATGTTTTAATTCGGAAGGAAGATATTTTCATGAAGGAAAATGTGGCTTATGTCACTTCAGTCCTCCATCCAAAAAATATCCACATTATAATACATTTGCTTGCTTCTCTTATTCAGCAAGTATTTAATAAAAATAGGTTAGTATGAATTTCCGGGATTATGTGTGATTTGAAAGCATTTCTTTGTATATAAGGTGATATAATAATAATGGCACCTCAAATACACTCCCGGAGGTCTTCAGTAGGACGAAGAGGTTGCTGAGCTTCCTGGTGAAATTAGGGTAGCGAGAATAACAGACGGATTTTCCCACACACGCAAAATAGGTGCAAAGTCGTTGATTTGCTGAAACCATGATGTACATGATTAAAAGTATTCACTTAAAATAGATAGCCTAATAAGTTTTAAAATTAAATTAATTATCAAGATTATACTTTAAATTAATTTTCAAATTTGGTTTTATAGCTGCTACACTTGATAGCATTGGGATTTCTGGCTGCGATAGTCCGTGATCCGAACTTGCTGGACGAATTAGAACGTGAATCAACCCCTGTTGCCGATTGGAGTGATTTAGGGGCAGAAATGCCCACTCCACTGTCCAACGTGGAGACCCGCCCGAGCTCCTATCCGCAACATTCCCCCCCTCATCCGCGCGATCACAGCCTGATATATCGTGAGTGTTTGTTTATTATTTTTTTATTGCCTGTAATATATTACAACAAAAACGTATAAAAACAAAAACGTCTATATACTACAGATATTTCTATATTTCATGTGTTTATACATCACGGAAAATCCATTGTATGCTACGTCAGTGATTTTCTAAACTCAAAGTTTAGTAAATTCAAATTATTATGTCAATTTTATCCTTAATTGGTCGAAATGTTTTATATAAGGTACGTGAAATGCCTTTTATATAAGCAAAATAGGAACAATGTTGTCATCTCTTATCTTTTAATGTACATACAAGCAATTGTGTAACTGAGTATAATGTGTCAGTAGTTTATTTAAAGCTAACTTATTAACAAACAATATTCTAAACTGCTTATAGTTATTTTGTTTTTATTGTCTTCATAACATGTTGACGATTACAAGTTCTTATGTACAAAAGCCTACTCAATCAGCGGTTGCGGGTTTGATTTTTGCCCAAGGATGTATAACGTGTATATTGTCCATACAGGCGTTTATTTAAATTATATTATTTATATAAAATGTGACATTATGGATCATACCAAGAAATATTCGAATACATTGATTTCTCTGTTTACTTGAAGAATAAAGATTGAACCTAAACGCTTGAACCAATTCAACTAACATTACGTTTAAACATAGATGTATTGATTAAAAGTTTATTAATATTTTAGTTATTTATTTTTATTAGTTAAATACATACATATAGTCGATATTGTACCTATCTACATTCTACTACTTACAATGATGAAAACCGCATGCATAGGAATATGTTAAAGTAAATGTTAAAAGAAAAAAATAAGCAATAAACAGGTATACCATAAAGAACAGTATAATTTTTTTTAAATGAAAAGATGATTTTTATTTCTATTTCACGGCTTGGGTAACTTTCATGGACAATAATATTTTTTCTTTTTTTTTTACTTGGGGGTCAGAAGATATTATATCGAATTCATACAAAAAATTTATACAAAAATAAATATTATAGTAATAGTATACATTAATAATATATAGAGAAGATAAAACCGGTAGCGTTAATGCGTTGCAACTGTGTGTAGATGATGTGGATGTGGGTGCGCTGGTTACAGTGTGCACACTGGCCATCACCCTCATGCTGATCTACGGCGCGGCCCGCGGCAAGCCAGCACACCTGCTGCCGTTCTTCTGCCTGCAGATATTCGACTTTGCTATCACTGTGTGAGTGTATTTTCCGTTTGTATTTAAATAATATACATCACATACATCAAGAATGTTGATATTAAAATATTAATTCAAGTGAAACTTAACAATTGGCAAATTAAATAAGCATAATCACGCACATTGTTTTTCGAAGATTATACATATGCGTGAACTAATAAACGTCATACGTTTATATCAATATCTATACATATAATAAAATTGTAACTACGTCGAATCTGTACATTAAATATTTTTTTGGAAAATCTTATTGAAATAAACATTATTATCAATACACAGGCCGAATCTATAGTTTTTAGAATTTTTGTCTGTCTGTCTGTCTGTTACCGCATCACAGAAAAACCACTAGAGGGATTTTGATGAAATTTGGTATGGTGATAGCTGGTTATCCGGGTCAACATATAGGATACTTTTTACAGCGGAACATGTCTCATTTTTAAGAAAAAATACAAAAACTGCAATGTAAGAGTATAGTAATATGTAAAACCTAACAATTAGGTTTTTGGTCATCTGAATGCGGGCGGAGCTGCGGGCAATGCTAGTTCGCTAGATATAATACTAGCAGAACCACGGCTTCGCTCGCGCTAAAAGTACAAAAAAAAACTAAAATGGTTGGTTTCATACGAAATTTTGACCATTATTAATAGGGGTATTGAGTTGAATTTCGAAAAATGATAAAACACGTATTTATTTAATTTTATTGAAGAGCATTAATACCAAGCTTCAAGTTATTCTGATCATAAATATTTTTTTCGGTTGTATTCAGCCAGCCCTCTATCTCCATACAAAAAATCACGCCAATCCTTCACTTTGTTTTGACGTAAAAGAAGGACAAAGAAACAAACATACTTTCACATTTCTGATATAAATGTATATATGTTACATGTTAAACTAGAGGTCTTGGCCTTTATCGATTGGTAGCAGTCGTATGACGAAGGTTGAAGAACATCTTAACAAACTCTCACAGTAAAGGTCACTACTTCTTTAAAGTTATAAGAAAATAAATATTAAACAATAGCATAGAATGCTATTTGGTCAGAAGTGGCCTAATATGGAGACGGATACACTTTAATTTTGATAAATCATGTTTATTACATTAGCAATAAGCTTTATTAAATTAGCTGATGAAAAAATTTGAAAAATATTTAAAAAAATATGCACATATATGTTATAGAGCATAGTAAGGATAATCTATAGAAAAAAATCGTGATAGCGTCTCTTTAATCCCTCAACGACCGTGGACACGCCGGCGTGTCAATTAACAATAGATTTCTTAGAAATTTACCTGGAGGTGTTAAAATACGTGACATTTTTTTTTTAATTTTTAATTTGTGATTTCGATATGTGAATCACTGTGAAGACTTCAAAGTCTTTGGAGTATTTAGTAAGGGAGCCCAAGAGGGGATTTTGGAGTTACTCAAGCGCCGCAGGTTAATATAAGGAAGCGCGTCAAGGGCAGCCGATCATAATATGTATTTAAAAAATAATCTTAAATAGTATGTACATAAACTTTATAGTCGATTTTTACCTCTTTGGCTTGTGCAAATCGGCAGATTATTGAATTGCACACTTTTCAGTTTTCAGGATGTAATTAGCCCACCATACCTTAATTTGACGATTTCAATTATTTTTCTACTTTATCAAAATATTTTGATCGGCCGCCCTAGACGCGCGCCCTTATATAGATGACTTATATTATGGTGGAAGTACTCAACAGAGTGCAAGGTATCCTCCCTTATGTTAATCTGCCGCGCTTGAGTAACTGCAACAATCCCCTCTTGGGCTCCCCCTACAATAACAAAATAATGCATGGCCAGTGTGTGTGGTAGATTGGACCGGTGGTAGATTCCTCACGGACTGACTACACTGATATTGAACTGAACACTGAAAAGTGCTTGTAAAAATCTATTTGAATAAAATATATTTTGATTCGATTTGTGGGGTGTGTCTACAGGCTGACAGCGACGGGCTACCTGTGCTACATCCGCTCGATCCACCGGCTGGTGGCGGAGGCGCGGCGCGTGCCGTGGCGCGACCAGCTGCTCGCGCTGCACGCGCCCGCGCTCGCCTTCGTTGTCATCGCCACCTTCATGCTCGCTGTACTGCTCAAGGTGATGATTGACACATTTTTGTGTTTCGCGCTGGGAATGAAATTGTTTGCGTTTACTTAGTTCGTAAATTAAATGGTGACAGATTTGGCAACTCCGATAGCTAAAAAATCTTAAAGATCAAATTTGGAAGAATTAGTTATGGACATAACTTCGCCATTTTTCATATTTTAATCTCCCTCTCATTGATACATCGTCAGTATCCAGCAGTGAGACGTGCAAAGCGGTCTGAATTATGAGAATCGATTATAACACTGAATTATAAATTCACGAGCGAAAGTGATAGTTGCTCTAAAATCACAGTAATTATGCAAACAAGATAATAATTTATGGAACCATAAATTATGTAACCCGCTTAGCTTGGTAGAAAGTTACAACTATTTATCAAAGTAAATAAAATGCTATGTTATTATTTCATATTTAACTAAGATTTAATCTCCCAGGGCTACTGCATCAGCGTGGTGTGGAGGTGCTACAAGTACCTAACAATGCGCACGCACGCGCTGCACAGCCTCACGCCGTTCGTGATCTCGAGCGAGGGCGTGGTGACGCCGGCGCCGCCCTACGCCGCGCCCGCGCCCTACTCCAGCCTGCTGCCCGATTACGAGGAGGCGGTCAAGCAGACCCCCCCGCCCTCGTACCGCGCCGCCACGCTCATGGCCGCCACAGACCCCGCGCCGCCCGCTGACACCCCCGCGCCGCCTGCTGATGTGAGTACACACACACACACACACACATATGGGCGGATATACACACAGATGCTGCTGCTCCTACTATGGCTACTGCTGTGAGTATACGGTATGCGCGCACACACACACACACACGCACAAACGCAATTTTTGCAAACAGGCAAACAGAAAGTTAAAAACTTAATTTGGCATATATTTGTCTTTATTAATAAGGCGCTTGCCGCGTAACGCCAAGAGTGAGTTTTTAGCTCGAAAAAGCATGAGATATTTCTAGAGGATATTGACTACGTGACGAAAACCTAAGACCTCCCTCGCTCCATTGCCCAAGCGTGGTATTTTGAAGGCCCCCCTCCACCCCTCCCTAATCCGTAAGACAACACACACACTTAGGCCTAAGGGCCTGTACACACCACATTTCATAAACAAGCCAAGAACGCGCGTATCATGAGCGTAAGTTATCTGCAAATGTTCTGCGCTGATAAAATATGCAGATCAATTGTGTTCGTAGTGACATGATACAAACGCGATATCAACCGCGCGTCGATAGCGCGTTAAAAAGTCCTCGTGTGTAATTGTATAGGCTCTAACTCGTAACTCATGTGCATGCTCACACGTGTCTACGGATATACACTGAAATATGAACACAAAATTACATACAAATTGCGTTTAATTTTTCCAAAAAGTATTATATAAATCGATTTCGTAACTTCTTCTGTTTCGCTATCCACAATCTCTCTCTCAGGAACTTCACCTATATGTCGTTGCATTATCTTAGTAATATATGTATATAGAAAAAAAAATGTTTAAAATATAGAATAAAAAAAATGTTAAATTATTATCTATACTAATATACTAAAGAGGTAAAGTTTGTTAGTGTGTGAGATTGTGAATTTGTGACGTTGTAGGGGGTAAGCTCTAGATCTACTGAATTTATTTAGATGTTTGGTTAGAAAAGATAGTTTGAGACCCTGGAGAGGACATAGGATACTTTTTATCCCGGAAATCATCCCTTAAGGGGGTGAAAATGGGGATGAAAGTTTATATGGGAATCAAGCTAGTTGCTAGTACATTATAATTAAAGTGAAGTCCGTGAAGTCCCCCAACCCGCACTTGGCCAGCGTGGTCTGATCCCCATCGTATTCAAGGGAACCCCGTGCTCAGCAGTGGGGCGATAAAAAGGGCTGAATACAATATTATAATTGACATTGTTGCAGCAACCACCGCCAGTGGAGCAGAGTCCTTTACCGACCCACACCGTAGTGATGTTGCCGCAGCAAGGCTCGCAGGCGCGCGTCTAAGCCCCATCACTGACGCATCGCGACTGCATTAAAATACCATTGAAAATTTCAAAGCTCATCTCAAATAAAATAAATGATGTGTTACATAAAATATAGTATACAAGTAACATCTAAACATTTCAATCAATTTAAATATAACATGAAATTAATTGTATTAATCATTATAGCTTTGATAAAACTATATCTATGATATTTTAGTGTAGACGTTCTTTAAAATATTCCTAATTTTCTTTAGTATTTATTATTTATAAGGGTATTGTTTTTCAAAAAATTAGATTAAGGATGTATTTTTCTTTTTTGTTATGTTTGTCGAAATTATTAGTTAGTGCCAGTATTTATTGAGAATCTTTTTATAAACTATTATTTTATTGGTAATTATCAATTTCTAAGTAGTATTTATGTTCAGTATGTATGACCTTTTTCATTAATTCGTCACGGTATTTGTGAGAGTAGTGCCATTTTGTTTTGTTTGAAAAGTTTATTTTTGTACTTTTTTGAGTTGAGTTTTATTTAGTTTAACAATCGCTTCTTACTGTGCTACATTCCATACACTTAATACAAAAAAAAGACTTGATCACTGTTTTGCAAAATTTCTGTTTTTTCTTTTTGACGATTATTTAATTTTGCTCTAGATTTTTCTCCGTCAATTCTAACAATTCTCTCGTGCCGTCCACTAATTTGATCTTCTAATATCCAACATAATAATATCCACTTCATTAAAAAATCTTAATCCTTGAGAATATTTAATTGCATGAAGTGGCATTACGTTATAATTTCATATAAATTATATTTACAACGTCTCCCTTTTCCTATTCCGAATTTAATGAGCTTAAAGCATTATTTAATATTTGCCAATACATACTAGGTGTTGGATGAAATTTAAAGCATATAAATAAATGGCATATTCAAATTATTAAGCATAATTAACATTGTAATCCATAAAACGTATAATCAATGCAACAGAAAAATAAAAAAAATTGATGGTTCAATAACTAATAAGGTAAGTTCGTGATAAAGTAGTTCACATATAGCTGTTAGGGCATCTACACACATACAATTCGATATCGTGGTAAATAAACTATCTGCAAATTGAGCCTATATGGGTTTAGACAAGATGTCATTTTAAAATCGTTGAAGAATAGAAATTTAGAAAATTTTCCTCGTCTTATTCTAGTTATTCTGAAACGCTGTTTAAGGGAACCGCAGTTGTCGTGGCCAGCACCACATTTCGTCGATTTGGCGCCGGTTTTTGAGGCGAACCGTCTATCTTTCTGCGCTATACAGAAATATTGGGAAGACTAAACTTCTCATCAGGCGGACTTTCATGGTTTTTGTGACATTGCAGTTGCACCAGACGCTTTTTTTAGCCTATAAACGGCAGATCTTGTGATTGCACATCTCCTTTAAATCTCGTCCTTTGAATCACCCACCATTGTTCCTGGTCGTGGAGCCGCGGTACACGTAGCCTTGGACAACCTCACAGTTGCCAATCATGGGGATGTCAGGGTGGTTTAGTTCAGCTCGGTCTACGATCATCATCTTGGTTTTCTCTCGGTTGATTGCAAGTCCCGAAGGAGAGGCTTGTTGTCTCTAGGTGTGTCAACACGTGTTCCATGTCTTCTTTTGTTTGAGCTCTCGCCATGGAACACCATCATTAGAGTAGTGTCATCGGCGTACCTTAAATTGGATATCTTCCGACCTCCCATTGATACATACCCCTTTGTCCCAAAAAAATCTCATAATACACTCTGTATTGTAGATGTTGAACAGGAGTGGAGACTGTATGCGTTCTTGCCGAAAATTATAGGGATACCGAAAGTTATCTTGATTCTATAATCTATAACGATTTGTCATCTAAATACAACTTTTAAAATTTCTATTCTTCAACGATTAATTATAGAATGATATCTAGTTAAAGTCCCATGGAAACATTTCCCTTCGGCTTATTGGTTATTTCGTCAAACGAAAAGATGGAGTTTTGACGCCATAGTTTACACGACAGAATCATTATTCTAAAACTCGTACAATCGCATCAATTAAATACGAACGTATGTATATGTGTGTATCTGCCCGCAATGCCGTGAGTGGTTTCGATACGGCCTATGTACAAAATAATTGTATTATTTTAAAGAATTATTTTGATTTTACGTACTTACATATTAGAAAATTAAGTATTAGAACTATACTGGAGTGAAATTTATTTACATACATTATTTGTTTTACACATTTATAAATTCGTATTTTTGTGCTAAAATCATGTTATTAGTATATAATATATAAAATTAGACATTTTGTCAAATCGGTGTGTAATATGTATCTAAGCACTAAATTATTGACGTACCAACGTGTGCGGCATAATATTTTAATCTGAAATAAAAATATAGACGAAAATTGATGGTTTTATTATCTACATGATTTTTTTTAAGTCTTATATAAAAGTGTTATGTATAATAATAGCATACGATTGAAATTGCATAAATCAGAATTTGTTTTCACATTATGGTAGGAAGAGATAACCATAGTCCAATTATTATATTTACGAAGAAAAAATATAGTGAAACTTAATTTAGGGTTCCGTACCCAAAGGGTAAAACGGGACTCTATTACTAAGACTCCGCTGTCCGTTCGTCTGTGTCTGTATCTCATGAACCGTGATACTTAGACAGTTAGTTTTTACAGATGATGTAATTTCTGTTGTCGCTATAACAAAAAATACTAAAAAACACGTTTGTTGTATGGGAGCCATACAACAAACATAATTTTTTGCTCGATATTGATAACGGCAACGGGTAGGTGCTTGAAATATTCACAGAATATTTAGTTCTATATTCACTTTAAAAATAAATAATTACATTAAAATAAAACAAATATTTAAGGGGGGCTCCCTATAACAGACATGATTTTTTTGCCGATTTTATAGATAATGGTACGGAACCCTTCGTGCGCGAGACCGACTCGCACTTGGCCGGGTTTTTTTTATTACTTGAAACTGTAGCATCTATACATATAATTAAATTGTAACTAAGCCGAATCTGTACATTAAATATTTTTTGGAAAATCTTATTGAAATAAACATTAATATCGATACAGAGGCCGATCTATAGTTTGTAGATTTTTTGTCTGTATCTGTTACCGCATCACAGAAAAACCACTGGAGGGATTTTGATGAAATTTGGTATGGTGATAGCTGGTTATCCGAGCCAACATATAGGATTTTTTACAGTGGAAAATGTCTCATTTCTAAGAAAAAATACAGAAACTGCAATGTAAGAGTATACTAATATGCAAAACCTAAGAATTTGGTTTTCGGTCATCTGAACGCGGGCGGAGCGGGGGGCAATACTACTAGCCTAATACATTGTTAAAAAATTCAATTATCATATCAAACCATGCTAAGGTTCGAAAACTTTTATAGTACAATAAAGTACTTACAAAGTCAATTTAATTATTTTTAATTAAATTGACTTTATGGTCACCTACAAAACCATCTATCAAAGCGTTTAATACTAATTTACTCTTAACCCACGTCCATAAAGATCGTAATTCAAAGTGGATATCATCACATTTCACGATAAATAAATCGGCTATTGCAATTTTGTAGCATTTGTAAGTGAGTTGCAACATTGAAAGGTCAAAGTTATGAACGCAATTTACAAACAATGCAGCGGACATGCGCGACCGGCGGATGGAGGAGTAAGTTTGCGCGCCGTCGCCGTTTGTATCACGCGTTCTCTATATATATCGACGACTTCACCTCCCCGCGGCTCTGCACTCACGCAAGCGCAATGCGCACCTGAAACGCCGAAAGTGAAAATTGCACATCATGATATCGCCCGCTGTAGGGCGATGCGACATCGGTTTGTTGTTGCAAATCGCTAACTGGAAGCGCGAGGACGAGTCCGTCGTCTGAGTCCACTGCGCCGCGAGGATGGCTCATGCCTCGGCACCGGTGCTCCTCAACACTGCGGTAGTTGTACGTCAAATATCAGCTGAGTTGCCGGCGAGGCCCGTACTCTCGTGACGTCTCTTGAGGATCGCGCCCCACGAGGGACCGGCACCATGGCGTCCACCATGCAGCTCGAGTTCACGCAAGCGATGACCGACTTCAAAACTATGTTCCCTGATATGGACGACGATGTTATTGAAGCCGTACTTCGAGCTAACCAAGGCGCTGTAGACGCTACCATCGACCAGCTTCTAGCGATGAGCACTGATAACCAAAACGAGAGGCTTCGTCTAGAAATAGAAAAGGTAGAAAGCAGTTCACCGTCCCGTCGTAAAGATTTAATTAAAAGGATTTCTAGAGGTGTCGAAAATGGTGACGACAATGATACTACGGCGCTTGTGTAAGTTTATGATTTAATTACAATATAATAAAACAAAAAAAAATGAATTCTTAATATCGTTAATAGAACCTATATTTGTTTTTATTTCTACTAGAGTACAAAATGTCAATAGTTGAAAATGATTACTATTTAAAAAGAATAAATGAAGTAGTACTCAGGTAAATAATTAAATTATATTGACAACTTTTTGCTTTCAGAACGTAATGTTGATGCAATGTATTAAATATATAAAATTTTATTACATAAAGTATTAGCTGCTTAAAATAATTAAATTTTACAAAGGGTTTCTAAAATGTCTTATATCTATTGTCATTTAAATGAAAACATTTGAGTAAGTAAATTATTATGAAAGTCCCCATAGATAGAGCCGTTAAGACTGTTCAAGTCTTATTAGTTACACTTATAGTATCAATTGACACAATTTATTTAGAATGTTCTTGACATGTAATAAGGTTTATTTGTACTTATTTGTTAATAATGACAAAAAAGCTAATTGATATTATACCTTTGGTCGTTATTATCATCCCAATTATCATCTCTTACTCTACTGTAATAGCTTACTAATAGCACAGACTACTTTATTAGCTAATAGTATCACAAGCTATTTACTATATTAGATTTCATAACTTTACGTCTAAGTAGACGTTACTAAAATGAAAAATGGTTATAACGTATTTAACCCACAAATTGCAATTATATTATAGTACGAGTAAGTACAGGTTACGGTTTCAGCGTAATATTAAAATAATAAAGAAACACTGCTGTCGCACCCTCTATCCGATATTAGCTATTACAATATGTATCAAATTATTATCAATGTTGAATTATACGTTCAATATTGTAATCACTCAAAAATTCGCCATTTTTAATAATTATCTTTGTTTTTATGTACGTATGTTCTATTTACGAGGAAGGAGCGCTAAAAATTACCTCTTTGGCGCTCAATTAACTTAAAAATGTGGCAATTACTTTATAATTATTTATATTGTCTAGTTTTTATGACATTGTTGACTCGCAATTTTCATCTTCTATCCACCTTGTGTAGGTAAATCCTGTACATTATTTTTAAAATATATTATAAGTAGGTATACTAAGTAATAAATATGTAATAATTATAAAACTTATAAATATTTCTTATTTCAGAAAACACAAAAGTTTTCGTAATGAAGCGATTAGTATAGTAAATATTAAAACATATATGCTATTTAAACATAAATAATATTATATAATGAATGCATAATATGTGAAAGCCTGTTTTTTCGTTTGTTCTTCTTTGATCTTTGATGTGACGACGTATTTTTTCCATCGAGGTACTTCATTGGTACTTGTTGGTACATAAATTGGTCCCAATAAAATATTACTTTCTTTTTGTGAAAAATTTGTTCATTCGTGTTTATGTTTTAACTTTCTTTAAATATATAGAACCAACCTGCAAAATATTACACGAAGTCAACACATAGAAAAACATTTTATTATCTACCTAAATTTTTTAATATCTGGGATCAGTGGCACTTTAGAGCATCGTATTGCTGAAAAATGTTTGCAATAACTATCCCCTTTTGTACGGTTGTTACCTCGCTTATCAAATACATATTTATGCGTATATGTACTATATGATACGATCAAAATATGTATACGTATATAAAATTTTTATTAATACCTACATTACATATCTACCAGGTACATATGTCATAAGTAATGTAATTTTTCTTGTCATCTATACATATAATAAAACAGTAGAGGTCAAATGTCTGTACATAAAAAAAATGCTCAAAACCGAGTCAGGGGGATGTACTCGTAAGAAGAGAAATAGAACAAATTCAGATTTTTTTCAATTTTTTGTTTCTCTGTCCTTTTGTCTGTTTGTACGGGTTAATCTCACAAACTGTTGGACCGATTTAAATGAAATTTTGAATGATGGTACCTTATATCTCCGGTCAACACTTTAGATACTTTTCATCCCGGAAAATTTAAGATTTCCCGTGGGATAGTTAAAAAACTATAGTAACTTATACAGCTTAGTACACAAAAACTACTGATTGGATTTTAATGAAACTTTACAATAATATAGTACATACGTCAGAATAACAAATAGGCTACTTTTTATCCCGGAAAAATGTATGGTTCCCTTGGCATAGATGTGTTTTTGTTCATGTAGAGGCGCTAGTTTCATATATTTGTATCTCATATTCGGCTAATGTTCCCGGGGGAGGGATAAAAGTCAAAACTATTTATTTTAACCAGCTACTCATCCTCGCACCGCTCGGTTTCGTCCCTAGTTACGTTTTAACGTTTAGTATAGTTTTCTCAGAGATGATATATTTTCCCACACTAAGAAATATCCTATATGTTGACTCGGATAACCAGCTATCATCATACGTATATTATTATATGATCTGTGATCGTACCAAATTTCATCAAAATCTGTCCAGAGGTTTTCTCGTTATGCGTTCCCAGGCAGAAAAATAGACAAAAATTCAAATTATTGACTATTTCAATAAAATTTTCCAAAAAATATGTGTACAGATTTAATTCAGTTAGAACTTTATTATATGTATAGATAAGTACTTTTAAGTATAGAGAACTTGAGTACGTGTTGTGTGTGAGTACACAGCATACTAAAACTATACTGTATTTTATACATGCAAAAATTTGTGTGTGTTTATTACTTTTTCACGCTATAAGTAACACCTCAATGCATTTGAGTAAAATTTTGAATTAAGATCGATCGGTTCAAAATCGCTTATATTTAACCACGTTTTGTTGAAACATGGTCACATTTTACCGACAATACATAACTGGCACAACAATAAATATTAGGTATTAATGAACATTCGAATCACAAAATATTTTTTTAGTCTTTATTTACGAAAATACAGATATTTTATATACATATTTTGAAATAGGTGTTGTTTTCAGAAACGTGGATGAGGAAGCAGTCCCTCTGTCGGTAAAAAGAAAATGGGTACCGCGACTATTGGGCCCATTACCTCCTATGTTCCTGCGAATACCGCCCGGTACTGATGCCAGAATCGACTTAAGCCTGGAGATGGACGATGATCGTATCGCAACGTTCCTGCAAAACGAAGAATTCATGGCAGAACTTCGATGGAATCAAGAATTCATAGCTGCATTAGATAGCGAACAAGGAAATAAAACAAAATGTCACGATGACGAAGCAGCGTTTAAAGAAAGGCTAAAAAATATGGGGAAAAGTAAGCTATATCTACTTTTCAGTAGTTATATAAGATAATTTATATAATTGTTGAAATGAAATCGTAAATAAAAAAATCTTCTTAACAAAAAAAATAAAAACCGACTTCAAAAAAAGCACTAAAAAGTAAAAGATAACTGATTGGTAGTTTTCATTTACTATACATACCTAATCAAATATATTCGAAGTCGGTGTGCTTTGCTTTGTATTGGCTGGCACCGACTTCGAATATATTTGATTAGGTATGTATAGTAAATGAAAACTACCAATCAGTTATTTTTTACTTTTTTGTGCTTTTTTTGAAGTCGGATTTTATTTTTTTGTTAAAAAGAACTTAATTTTCCCTTTTAAGTGTAGACATAGTAGTAGCAAAGTGAGAAGAAAGTATTTTAATAAAATATTTGCTTAAACCGTTTAAGTTACTTTGATGCTAATTTTTATATGAAAACTGACAAAGTAAAATTCACTTTTATTATTAACACTAAAAATTCTGGCTCTAAAATCCGATTCTAACGTGTTAGACTTGTCAAATCAAACAAAATAAGCCCAAACTCAAAGTATCTACTATTAGCCGTTGAAGAGTCTCTTCCCTTAGAGACCTTCTGGCCTTACGTTAGATCAGGTCAACGATACCGAAACACAGCACTGTCAACAGAAATAGACACACTTGCAAAGTTTCAAGTCAATATGACAATCAGAAGTAGTTTAAATTCATCATTAGCTATTTTCCCATCCTTAGGGGTGGTATTTTTTTTAATTTAAATGGGACTAATCGAGAAGTATACACTTTCAAACAAAATAAAAATTGTCTAAATCGGTTAACAAATGACGGAGTTCTGAGGTAACAAACATAAAAAAACCATACAGCCGAATTGAGAACCTCCTCCTTTTTGAGGAAGTCGGTTGAAAACGTAATAACTTAATAAATATATTAATTTATTATATATAACAAATAATATATTGATTAAAATAAAATAATTTATTTAAACTGAATTACATTCGTAGTAGGTACAAGGTTGAGCATATTGGCGTAAATAGCCTGTGACAGGAGGCCTCGCTCTTCCATAACAAATGTTAAAAGTACAATATTATGATCTAAGGTAGGTACCTACCTTTTTTTTTTTTTTTTGTTGACGCTGGGGAAACCCATCATGGGGACCCTACCGGCCGTCAATGGGTAGGGTACTGTGAGACTCCTACTCACTAAAACCCACAGCGGAACCCGTCGCCGCAGTGCAATGGGGTGTGCAGGATCGCTTGCGCATTCACTGCAACACCCCTGCGGACAGCCCGTACCCCGCGGGCCTGCCTCGCCTAAACCGGGATGCCCTCGATTCACAGAGCATCCCGACCGCCCCGATGACGTGCAGGGGAGTCAACGAGAGACCCCCCCGCAGTAGCTCCTCTAGGGTGGCGGGAGAAGATGCGCATACCGGCGCCTCCTCTCCCCCAGCCGACGGCGACGAAGAGGGTCTGCTAAGGCGTTAGCCTCGCGTTCCCTCTCCGCCGTCTCCTTCAGTGAGATGACGGCCTCGCTGAAGGAGACCATCGCCGACCAGGACCTCTCGTCGCGTAGCATGGCCCCCACCACGCTTCGCAACGAGAGGTCTCCACCCACTACCGCCATCAGGGCATGGCGCTGGGGAGCCCAAGCGGCGCATACCGCGAGGGTGTGGTGCGAGGTGTCCTCGGACGCACCACACTCGTGGCATGCGGGCAACGGTTCCCGACGCGCAATTTGACACAGATACTTACCAAAGCACCCGTGCCCGGTAAGCATCTGCGTCAACCTGAACGTCAGGACGCCGTGTGGCCGCCTGACCCAGCGAGACAGGAACGGACGAACCGCCCCCACCGTCGCCCGGCCAGCCGCTGGAGTCCCCAGGTCTTCCCACCAGCGCCGGATCAGTGCCTCGTCAGCTAGGCGCCTGATCCGAGCGACTCCCTCCCGCGCTGGACGTTCCCCTCGCGCCCGCTCACTCGCCCGAAACCGATAGACTTCGGCGAGCACCTCCGCCTGGAGTTCCCAGGGCGGATCGCCCGCCAGAAGTGTCGCCGCCGTGAAGGACACCGTACGGTATCCCCGTATCGCCCTCACCGCCAGGACCCGTTGCGCCTTGCGCAGTTGGGCCCTGTTCTGTGCGGAGAGGGCGTCCATCCAAACGGGGGCACCGTACAGTGCCATGGACCTCACGATGCCGGCATAGAGCCGCCGGCAGTGAGATCCAGGGCCCCCGACATTCGGCAGAAGTCTGCCGAGGGCCGAGGCGGCGCCGTTCAGTCTCGGGGTGAGCTGGGCGAAATGGACACGAAACGTCCAGCGTCCGTCCAGGGTCAGGCCCAAGTAGCGCATATGGGCCCGAACCTCCACCATCCTACCCTGGACTCGCAGACAGGCGTTGCGGGGGGCACCCCTGCGTGGGCCATGAAACAGGAGGGCCTCCGTTTTGGAGACGGAGACCCTCAGGCCCAGCATCCCTATCCGGTCGGCGACCAAGTTGGTGCCGACTGTGGCCAAGCGTGCCGCCTCCTCGTAGGAACGCCCCCGGGCTGTGACGAGGGTGTCATCAGCGTAGGCGATGACACCGAGCCCGGGGAGAAGCGGACAACGCAAGAGCCAGTCATAGCCGAGGTTCCACAGTACCGGGCCCAAAACGGCCCCTTGTGGAACCCCGCAGTCGACACGCCGCCGACCGACCACCCCATTTGCCCCCGTCCACACGACCTGTCTGTCGCGGAGGTATGCGTCCAACACCCGCCGGAGATAGAGAGGCACCTCATGAGCTCGAAGCGCCTCTTGTACAGTCTCGAACGGCAGGGTGTTGAAGGCATTGGCCACATCCAACGAGACGGCTATCAGCACGCCTCCCTCCTCCACCGCGGCCAAGGACCGAGCCTTCAGGGCGTTCAGGGCGTCCACGGTCGACCGACCCGCCCTGAACCCGAACTGAGCCTCCGAAAGGCCCGGCCCCACCTCCTCGAGATGCTGAGTAAGACGGGCAACGAGAATTCTCTCGAAGAGCTTGCCCATCTCACTCAGCATCACGATCGGCCTGTATGCCGAAGGGGAGTCCAGAGGACGACTCTCCTTGGGCAACAGGCACAGCAACCCCTCCTTCCAGATCTTCGGGAACTGCCCAACGCGAAGACAAGCGTTGAAGAGATCCCGAAGATCCCCTCCCAGGTATTCCAGGGCGATGCACAGAACTCGCCCCGGAATACCGTCCGGTCCCGGAGCCGTCCTCCTGGCCCGCAACTTGTCCTGGGCCAGGTCCATCTCCCCCTCGGTGATTGGGGGGAATTCCTCCACTCCCACAGTGCGTGTGGGAGGAGCCATCACCGGGGGGACGTGCCCAGACGACTCCGGGAACAGCCCACCGATCAGTCGCAGGAGGACCTCGGGCGGCGTGGTCTCCGTGACCGGGGCGCCGTGCGCACGGAGCTTGTTCCGCGCGCTGATGTAAGGGCGCCCCCATGGATCCCGATCCAGGCCCGCCAGCATTTCCTGGCGGGCCGCCGCCTTGGCCTGGCTGATAGCGAGCTGCAGGGCCTTCTTCGCTGACCGATAGGCCAACCGCAGCTCGCTCTCCAAAACCGGGTCCAGGCCATTCCTCCTGCGACACCGGACAAATCTCCTCCTGTGCCAATTGCAGGTCGCCCGAAGCTGCGCGATTTCAGGCGACCACCAATACACGCTCCGGCGATGCCGGGCGAACCGCCTTGTCCGCGGCATGGCCGCATCGCACACCCTCGTAAGGGCGTCGCGAATGCGGCCAGCCAGTTCCTCCACATCGGAACTGGCGCCCACCACACTCCCCTGGGAGCTCCATGCCTCTACGATGGCCGCCTCCTTGGCCAGCTCAGCATCAAGCCGGCCCAGGGCCCATCTCGGGAACGCTCGAGAGGGCCCCCTTGGGCGGTCCACCGGCACCGGACGGGTGGAGATCTCGAATCGGATATAGTTATGATCCGACAGAGTCTCCACCTCCTCCTCTACCCTCCAGTTGATCACCCTGCGTGCGACGGCGGGGGTGGCGAACGTTAGGTCCACCACGGACCCCCCCTGCTGTCGCACGCACGTGAACGCTGTCCCCACATTGAGTAGGGACAGACCGGAGAGTAGGGCCCACGTCTGAACGGCTCGCCCTCGAGCGTTCGACGTGGGATTCCCCCAGGCCAAGGACTTGGCATTAAAGTCGCCGAGGACGATAGTGGGCCTCGGCGACTGCCTGCAAACCGCAGCGCGGACGGAGTCGAGGAAGATCTCGAACTCCGCCAGACTGCGGTTGGGGGAGAAGTACACGGCGACAACCGCGTACTCTCCCCACCCTGCCACGACAAGTCCTTGGCCCCTCTCGATTGCCGAGAGACGGGGGCCGGTGCTGCTCCCAGACACTATGGCCACGGAGCCCTCTAAGTCCCCCACCCAGTTCGGTTGGTGAGGAACAAAGTAGGGCTCACAGGCCACCGCCAGACCTATCTCCCACTCGGCCATGGACTGCAGGAAAAGGTCCTGCGCTCCGGCCGAGTGGTTCAGATTCCCTTGTAGGAAGCGCTTGTCGTCACCCATTATGACGACATATGCGCTTCCTCAGCCTGGCGGCTTCCGGCACTGACGACGGCTCCGGTCCCTAGAGCCGTCTTGCCTTTCGTGATGGGTGGGTTGCAGTCTCGCCCACCCATCATATGCCCAGAGGGGCGCCCGGCATCTGCGCAGACCGCGCAGCGGACTGCCTTCGCGGTGCAGGCAGCGGAATGGTGCTCATCGCTGCCGCACCGGAAACACAGGCGCCCCCGCTCTACCCTCGACGGGCACCGAGGTAGGGTATGCCCCAAACCCATGCATCTGAAGCAGCGTAATGGGCGCTGCTCCAGAACCTCGACCTTGGCCGACGACCACCCGACCAGGAGTCGGCTAAGGTAGGTACCTACCTACATTATTAAATTAAAACAAAAAACTTATAATTAAATCTGTATAATGTGTGTTTGTGTGAGTGCACAGTGCGTGGGCACATATATACAGACATGTATAGAATATAAGAAATATTTCCTTAATATGTTAAATTTTTAAGAATAAACTCCTCGGACTTATTAACTTAAAATAATTAAATTCAATAAAAGCTAATTAAACAATAGATAAAACCATGAATATAATAAAAAAATATAAAAAAATAGTTTTGATATTTTGTTTTGGAAATAAATGCTAATATAAAATACTAGCATTGCCCGCGGCTCCGCCCGCGTTCAGATAACCAAAAACCAAATTCTTAGGTTTTACATATTAGTATAGTACTCTTACATTATAGTTTTTGATTTTTTTTCTCAGAAATGAGATATTTTCCCGCGGTAAAAAGTATCCAGTATGCACAAAGCTAAAATCCAAGGCAGAACTCATTGGCTCTCACGAAAAATGAGGACCCTACAGGACTCATTGCAAAAAATGCCGTTACTTGGTATGACGACTGATGCCATGTTAATTCGGCACTTATTTGAAAAGTATTATATTCCGTCAAGGGAAGACTGGACTAAAAGCCCGATAACCCACAAAAACGAATCTCTAATCTGGTTTACAGACGGCTCAAAAATAGAAGCAAAGGTTGGCTATGGGATACATGGAGAGCGACCGGGGTTCAGCAAAAGCATACACCTCGGACAATTTGCCTCTATTTTCCAAGCAAAAGTCTATGCTATTCTAGAATGTGTAGAAGCTAATCTGTCCAAGCACTACACAAATCAAACTATCTATATATATTCAGATAGCCAAGCTGCACTACTAGCGTTGGACTCAAACACAGTCTCATCAAAGCTAGTGGAGCAGTGCATGGACCGACTAAACCTCTTAGCAAAAAACAATAAAGTAGTGTTAAGATGGGTACTGGGTCATGCAGGGGTAATTGGCAACGAGTGTGCTGATAAGCTCGCTAGAGAGGGAGCTCTTGGTATGCAGCAGGGCCCTGAGCCCTTCTGCGGAATACCTAAGAGCCTAGCTCAAAGAACCCTAATGATAGCATGTCTCAAGACTGCGAACAAGGCTTGGACTGAATCAAATGGAATGAGTTACGCCAAGACATTAATTAGAGCCTACGACAAAAGGTTTAACAATCTTATGCTAGGGCTAAACAGAAAACCTTACTAATACTGGTAAGGGCTTTTACTGGACACTGCTGCTTAAATAAGCACATGTTCAACCTGGGGCTGAGCGAAACGCGAACCTGCAGAATATGCAGGGAGGCAGACGAAACGCCACTTCATCTTCTGTGGGAATGTGGACCGCTCATGCACAAACGCAGTATTCATCTAGGAAAACAATTTCCAAGCCTAGATGAAATAAAAGAGTGTAACCCTAAGAAAATCCTGCAGTTCTTAACATCAGCAGGGTTTAGTGGCTTACTCTAGTACAATATAACGGCGATCAAAATAGACCAGAAATGGTCGCAGTGACACGAAATAGCCGCAAAACATAAAAAAAAATATATGTTGACTCGGATAACCAGCTATCACCATACCAATTTCATCAAAATCCCTCCAGTGGTTTTTCTGTGATGCGGTAACAGACAGACAGACAGATAGACAAGAATTCTAAAAACTATAGATTCGGCCTCTGTATCGATAATGATGTTTATTTCAATAAGATTTTCCAAAAAATATTTAATGTACGGATTCGGCTTAGTTACAAATTTATTATATGTATAGATATGTATTTTACTTTTAGTGTCTCGCAAGAAGTTCGCGCAACTGTCCCGCATGTTTACACGTGGTGGGTCTCGACGTAGCGGCAGTGCGAGGGCACCGTCCCGGGGGCCGCCAGACAGCTTACTGCTGCAAGAGGAACACAGCGACGACGAGGACAGACCACATCCACAGAATATCAAAATATAACCTACGTAACCTTTCATACTATCATATAGCCACGCTTGAGTGTCTGAAATGACTTTAACGATGGGCCTTAATGTATTTATCGGAGTTGCACAAGGTTTCGCATAAGACTGGGAATGCTTAGATAAGATTGCATTAGTATGTTGTTGTTGGAAGCGTTCATGGAGAAGAAAGTAAATTGTTCGACTTCTTTTTTAAATCAATACGAGGATGGCGAATTCTTCTAAGAGAAGAGATATGTTAATGATTTCCATAATTGAATTGTAAATAATTGCTATACCAGCGAACTCCATTAGGAAAATTGCTTTGTTCACCCATAAACTAGATAATTCTGCTAGCGCTATTATTTCGTTACCATTTTCGCTCATTCTGGATACAATGGTATTTTAAATGTGTATTTAGTTTGAAGCATCTATTATATTTTTATTAAACTAACAATCTTGTTAATCACATGGCCATACTCAACATAAACTTACGAAATGCAAATAGTTGTTAAATACCTAAATTATTAAAAAAATAATTTAAAAGATGTAGAAATTTTGTTTTGGTCCAATTTTCAGAATTAGTACCACTAATAAAATATGTGTCACAAAAAGAAGTTCTAATTTATCTACCTCATCTAAATTAATATTGAATAATAATAGTAAAGTTCCTTATTATCTGTTAAAGATCGCTTTATGAGAAACATTATGTTCACGCTATTGTTCTGGCGAGATCAACAGAAAAACTATATGGTCTTTCTTCAACGATTAGCAATGTCACAATTGTAGCTAAATCCTTTAAATAAAAATTTAACACACTAAACATAATTCAATATTGACATACTACTTATAATTACTCAATTATATCGAACGAAAATACTCGTTCAATTTAAAAAGAAACATTCTGTAGTAAGTAGTCATCTCACGTAGAGGAGGGAGAAAAACTGCTTTCCGACGCACTTATTTGCACGCATAATTACATGCGTCCAGCCAGCCATAGCAGACCATAAGCCTCTCTTACATCAGCAAGTATCGGATAAGTTATGGAAATTTACATATTTATAATATATTTTAACATAATATACAACATGTACACGTATGAAATACGTTTTTGTAGCTCATTTTGCTGCGCCACTTTAAATATTTTTAAAATCATTTCTTGTTATTAATGTAATTACATATACATTATACATATATACTTCTTATTATTATAATTAAATAAATAGATTACGTTAAAGCTTTGGGCAATTTGGTATATTATGTATATTTTATGGATATAGAGTTTTAACAACCATGATATTTGAGTTAAATATTTACTTATAGTTATCATAGCATTCATTTCAAAAGACAAATAATATTGCATTGTGATAAAACCAAGTATAGATACGTCATGTCATATAAGATTAATGGTGCGTGGTATACTGCGCTCGACGACGCGGAACGCGAAAGTCGCATCTTCTTAGTAAAGACTTCAACGCTCCATGCACTGTTTGCTACAAGCCTATGCGTTACATACGTTGTCATTCGTTACATATTTTGTTAATTTTAATCGAAATGTTTTATCTTTTATTAAAATAATATCTACATTTTTGTGTTGATTATACCAATTTTATATCGTTTATTGTCACTGTTTTAGAATATTTGTATAAGAAAGGAATAATTTTTGTGGTTAAATATTAAGTCAAATAAATTCTACAACAACTTAAAATTACCAAGACTATTCAATGTCAATATTAATTAACTATTTTACATTTTTATTTTAGCAGTGATATATTATTCTATTCATGAAAGTCAATTCTTTTTTCTTCATTTGTTTAAATAATAAAGAAAAATAAACACAGCCGAATATAGTTATTAAACAAAACGACTTAACTGTTTATCTTGTACATATTTGCGACTCTATATAGTCTAGTTTTTTCAGTCTAAAAATATTAAAACGTCGGATTGAGTAAAATATACTGATTGAATCATATATTTGTATATTTTCGAGGAGAAAAAAATGATAACGAAAAACTTTTAAATCCTAAAAAAACATAAAGGAATGAGTTAAAATAGTTCCATTAGCAATAATTAATGATTAATTAAATGGATGTGATTATAATAACCTACATATATAATATAGCCGACTTGATAACTGGTCAAACCAGCGCTATAAAGCCTTACGCATCTTGTATTTATTCAAGAACTGACCGTTAAGAAAAACTTTTTTCCATCTTTATGAAAAAGGTTAATAAGTGTAATGTTCCTGTACCTATCCCACGTAAGTGCAAGTCACAGCTCCTATTTATAGTCTCCACTTTTAAACGAGATGGAAATACTAGGTATGTACTTTTTTAATGGCATCGTTTCATTAGCAATTAACACTAATTATACTAATTGAAGGCATATATTATAAGAGAGATAGAGAAATAATAAGATAAAAATATATGTCTACGCATCTTACCAGTAATTTCTATAAAATATGTTTTTCAATATAATCCTGTTTAAAATTAGAATCGAAGAAGTACATATAAATACTTTTAATTATAGAGTTATTCTGTTACAGTAATCTTATTTATATTTATAGATAAACTGCGAAGTCCATTATTCATTACATGTTACTGAATGTTGAAAAATAAATTCGTTTATTATATGTACACTAATATATAGATGACGCAATCTAACCGGCTATTATCAAAAAATAAAAGCACCATACTCGATCGAGAGTCAGGAACCGAGACACGAGTACCTTGACCATGCTTGTTGACTATAACGCTCTGGTAAGACGTTCCGCACATTAGGTAGTTCCAAATTTAACTAAACGTCGAAACAAAATTTTATGATATTGTTGTAATAATTAAAATAAAACATATTCATATACATATTTAAATGCTTAGCTACGATATAGCACAATCTGTATAAAACATACGAAAAGTTTAAAAAATATTAGGTATGGGTATCATACCTAGCAGTGAGACCTTTTAAATTAATTTACCTGAACTATTTTTAAGGTCTGTCCATTTTATGATATATAATAATTACATAATGAAAATACCTATAACGTGGTAAAAGTTGTATATTGGTAATTATTAAAAAAAATGTATTAAAGATGTTAAGAAGGTAACTTTATGTACATTATCTGTTTGCGTTCATAAGGATAGCTGGAAACCACAGACCAGAAACAACAGGTGCTGGAAACATTTCTATGTATTAGTTAAGTAATGTGTTAATGTTGATAGAAACTCTAATTAGTATTCAAAAAAAGATATATACGTAGGTGTGTTTTCTAGAATATTATTTATTCATTTAGGCAATGACTTGAAATTATTTTTAAAACATATATTTCAAAAGTTGCCAATGTGACTAACTGCTGGTGGCTGTAAAGATGTGCCCGAGCATCGTGCACGTGCATCCGTCACGCTTGGCGGTCACTCGGATATTCTTTTAGTTTGTCCTTAGTCGCGGTGCCACTCGTACGCATGAGACCTCTGCCGCACAGTGATTATGATAATCCAGTGATGCCTTGTATGAAGTGCTTGGAAATACAAGAACTATTCTGAAAATACTTGACATGTGAGTATTAAAATTGTTTTTTTTTTTGTCATATTTTATTTAATCTTAGCTTCTTTTATAAAAACGAAGCAGGTACGTTCTTATTTAAAGTGAAATAGGAATCCAATCCATTTTTTTTTAATGAAATATGTTACAATATTATATTAGTCTTAACATAAATATATTTTTTGCTAATATAAACTACTGCACGATTAAAATCGTAAGAAAGTTTGGCTGTAAATGTCTGTAGTGAAAATAATTTTAATAATCGCGACGGCGATTTCATATCTGCTTATGTACAAAATATTTTCATTCTATGTATATTATATTAAAGCATTTGCATATAATTATATAATAAAAATATAAATAAGTAGGTATTATCTCACACCCTGCTTGCATAATAATAATGTTAATTTTATTTATACCTCTATTAAAAAAAAGCGTAACTTTAACCGCTATAAATTGTTCATAAGTAATCTTTGAAATGCCTATACAAATAGTTTTAAGAATTAGGTTTCATCGTATTTTTTTTTATTTATCTTAGCGGTTACATGAACAATGAATATGTATGACATAGTTTATTTTAGATACAATGGATTAAACATTACATTGGGTGATACATTTTGCAAAAAAACTTTTGCTAAAACAGACAAAACTATTTAATATTCCATGCCTTTGTGTTCTTCTGTCGTGCTGAAGAATAAAACTGTTTAGAGCAACACGCCCAAAGACGTTTAACTTTAATTCGTAATGCGTAAATAAACTTTAAATAAAAAGATAAAGATAATAATGAGCAATTACTGGTATACCGGGGATGCTGTAATTGCTTGTGATCGGTCACTAAAAGGTGGACGGACACGCAACACGACGTCAAGCTCGTATCGTTAGGCGACTCTACTTTCGTTTACATAATACTACGTCGCCTTTTACTGCTAAAACTTACCATTACGGTTTTATTATTACAAATCACGTATTAAAGTTCTACAATAAGAAATATCTAGTCATAATGAATACCTACTATGGATCATAAAGTTTTATTATTTTCAATACTTTCTACGATTACGATAAATAAATATTATAATATTTATTCTTGTGCTTCTATTATTCTTTTTATTTTTAGTAATTAAATTTATCTATTGAATTATGAAATCTAAATGCCTTTTATAGTTTGTCAATATTAGAGTAGGTACACTAAAATAACACAATATACTAAATTTTATATTTACGTAACATTAGAATAATGATAATCCACTCTAAAATAAATATATCGTAGTGCTCTAGAAGAAAAATGTGGTAGACATCATGATCGATAATTTTTCAGCAGAGCACAGTGGTCATTAAAATAAGCAATATTTATTATGTGTAGATAATGTTGTGCTTGCAAAAATTGTGCTTGTTACAATATTTACCTATATATATATATATATATATATATATATATATATATATATATATATATATATATATATATATATAAATCTTCTAAAA